CACGAGCCGACTCGCGGCGTATCATATGCCGCTATTTAGTTGTTTTATTTTTTACTTTTCAGTAATTCATAATTTGTGAATTCGACAGTAGCACTGCTGTCACTGAAAATATTTTCTTTAAAACACCATCCGATACCACCCCACCCTCCTTTCCCCCAACCAGAGTTTCTTCCAGGCATTTCCCCCAACCAGAGTTTCTTCCAGGCATCTCCCCCGTGAAAGCAGCCTCCTCTTAGTTACCTCCCCTAAGTTTAAAATAGTTTCAAACTAAATTATCTGCCCCTAATAGCCGTCACTAAACCCGGCTCTACGATTGTAAACATTTAGCGTGAACCACAGCTCACCAGACCATGTGGGGGTGGGGGTGGTAGGGATATGCCTAGAGAGGAAGAGAGGGGACTGCAAGGCGCGCTTACAGCTTGGTGTTTTCTAGGGTATCCAAGAAGAGAATTATATATATATATATATATATATATATATATATATATATATATATATATATATATATATATATATATATATATATATATACTATAGGCAGAGTTTCTTCCAGGCATCTCTTCGGGGGGGGGGGGGCGAAAACATTCTACCGCCCCCCCCCCCCCTGAACGAAATGAAATTTATATAATTTATATAGAAAATATATACTTTTAACAGTGTCCGCCCCCCCCCCGAAGAAAGTCTGCCCCCCCCCCCCCCGAAACAGTCAAGTGCCCCCCCCCCCCCCCCGGAGAAAAAAGTCTGGAAGAAACACTGATAGGGCCGACTAAACTGAAAAAAAAATAATAAAGTTTGCCTTTCTTATCTCCGATTCCTTTTGATGTGTAAATTATAATACGAATTATGGATCGTCCATAAATGACGTCACACTTTTTGTCAATTTATAAATTTTTCTCCGGAGGGGGGGGGGGGGGGGAAGCACTTAAAACTTTCTGGGGGGGGGGATATTCAAATAAATAATATATTTGTTTCTATTTCGCACGGAGAAATGCCCGAAGAAATTCTGACCAAAACAAATAAGCCTATATGTGCGAGAATCCCAACACCCACATAAACTGCCATTTTATTTTTTTTAAATGTTACTTGAATACACGTTGAGCTATTTCCATTTAGATCTATATATTATAAAGTACAGTACACTGAACATGTAAATGTTTTTATTTTTTATTTTACAGAAGTGTCTTTTTATAAACGCTAAATTTTAATTAAATAATTGTATTCTAAAAAGTATAAATTTGCCGTCACAATTTGACGACCTTTCACTTATTAGATAAGTCCACTGCTCCCCTAATAGTGTGATAATATTTAGCTTATAGATTCTTGTTTCCAAATAGTCCTAACTATAGACTGTGGTCCTGCTATAAACCTTTTGTCTTATTAGACCTAATTTAAAGATAATAATCCTATTTTTTTTTAAATATGGGATTTTGGGTATATGTTACTATTATTACAGATATATTAACTTTTTGTGAAGGGGGGTGGTAAATCACCAAAACAGCGTGACTTCATCTATGTCCAATTAGTTCACACATGTCGATTTTTTCTCCCCCCCCCCCCCCCCCACACTCTATTGTTTTAGTATATATACGTCATTAAAGGATGATATCTAAATAATCGTAAATATGCTATCGATCTACAAATAGAAATATAATATAAATGGCATAGACTATTTTTAAGCTCTATGATTACATGTTATACGCGTCAGCTGTCCTGCGCCACCTGAAGAGATGGTTGAAAGAAACTATGTGTTTCCACGACTTTTATAATGTAACAAATTATATTACTACTTTTATTATTAGGTAATTAGTTAGATCTCTGGTTAATTAGGCTAGATTCTTAAAACAACAATTCAACCCTTCTTCATTAGCATATTGTGTACCTTATTTTAACTAGTATAATTAATTATACAGCTCACACTACCTAAATATTTCAAATAAGGTCTCTTGAGTGGATGAATACTTGTGTATAAAATATAAAAGCTATATAATATATCATATATATATATATATATATATATATATATATATATATATATATATATATATATATATATATATATATATATATATATACACTATATATTTATATCTTTTATATATTTATTATATAGAATAGAGGCTAAAATAGAATCAAATCCTTACTTCTTGACATATCAAAACTGAAACACATTACTTAATGAAGCTATAAAAACATTTTTAAAAACAACTTTGAGGGTAATATCTATTACCTAACCATGTTGGTTTGTGCTCATTAATAAGAAATAAAAGTTAATATGAGTGGAACATTTTAATTTTAACAGATTAACCAGTAAAGAAGACCACACCAATATGGCCAGTGAAGAGCTAGAAGAGGGTGGATATAGTTTAAATAACCACAGCGCAGCCAGTGAAGAAATTTCTAAATATTTTACAGGTATGATGTCATTTATTTTCTTATCATGTTGAAAATAAAAACTATACCTGTTTAAAATAAATTCTGGCACTAATAAGAGCAAGCATGCTCAATGGTTGATGCTGAATTTGTGTTGTAGCATTTATTTTTTACTGGTTGAGGTGACTATAGGAAGGTTTAATTATTTTTTTTTGTATTAAGTTGATCAAAGTTTAACAAATAGTGATATGGTTGAATTACTGAAACTTTCTTATCATCCTGTACAGGCACACATGAAGTACAGGAATGCATTGAAGGTCAAGGTGAGGTAGATCTACACACCCACCTGGCAAACTGTAAGAAAAACCCTGGCCATAAAAATTTTGTCCCTGTAAATGAGTTAACCATTGAACATTTTCCTCCTAGTTTCCATGACGACCTCCTGCTAGGCCTCACAAAAGTTGTAGCTGACCTAACTGTCAGGATAGCGGTTCAGTTCACCAGTCTAGGCAGACCTGAGTTCTTACCGGGCACTTCAGATCCATATCCTTGCTACAACAACAGGGGAAAGAACTCGATGAGAACAGGAACGGGGAAGGTGTGGCAGGTGATCAAACACACACAAGAAAGAAAGGACAGGACTTGCCCATGTCCTGAATGTGTTAACTCGGACACACCCAGTAAAGTCTGGTGGGGGGTTCACGTGCAAACGGCCAAACATGTAGTTTATGATTCAAGTGAGGTGATACAGTCAAGCTGTAGATTATGGTTTGATGATGATACAAGTCCAGTGGTCAACATATATGGGTGGAAGATGGAGGATGGGGTCACTGCATGGGACTTGAGTCTTTTAACTTATGTGACACATGACTTAGAGGTAGGTGACAAGCTGGGGCTGATGAAGAGATGGCAAGTTGCTCTATGGAGGAAAGTAAATCTTCTTCTTCTTCGTTCTTAATTATTAGTGTTGAAGGGGATCGAGATTTATCTGCCAGTGGGTTTGAGGCTTTTTTGTTCGAATTTATCAACCATGAGCTTTTTGCCGACTCGACCACACCTCCAACACAATTAAGCGTTACGTGTCAACTGGTTATGCGCCATTGAGGCCATTGACTCCGATTTCAGCCTGCTTTTCTTTTTGGATTTGCTTCCATAGCCTTTGTCCAACCAAGAACAAACTACAAGGCAGCAGTTGTTTAATTTTGGAGTTGTCTCTCCTAGAAGAGTGGCTGTCCCCAGCTAACGAGCCTCATCTGCCCGAGGGTTCGAACTCGAGACTTTTCGGTTTAGCAACCATGAGCTTTACCGACTCGACCACGCCGTCCCCGGAAAGTAAATGACAAATACACAATTCATAGAGATGTACACAAGCTAACCATTATAGTGTCACATCCTCATGGCTGTTCAAAGCACGTCTCTGTAGGTCGCTGGGTCCATAGACAAGAGGTGGATGGTAACTGGACAAGGTACACATACACAACTTGTACCTGTCCAGGTAGCAGTGGGGCTCTGGTCTACAGAGTGGGGTGTTTTGTGTCTGAGCATCCTCACAGTGGAGTTAACTCTGATGGATTAAACTATAGTGGTGTGTGGACAGACTAAGAACACTTGTAGTGTTGTAGTGGTCATAGTTACTTTAGTTAATGCTATTAAAAAGTTTTAAATCTATTTTAACCCCTCAAATTCGGCATAATTTTTGTCAAAGTTTATGCATTATCTTACTTTTATGATTAAAAATCATCACAGCAATGACTTCATAGGCATTGTAACAATCCATTTTTACCCCTAAGCGATTTATTTTTTAATTATACAGCCTTTTTGAGTGGTTTCCTGTGTTTTTCAGTATAGAGTGTATTAATCCCAAACCCCAGTATGGTCATGGTTTGCTATCTAATCTTTTTAAGTCCTATGATATATTTAGTAACCGCAACTGATTGGCAGCCTAGTCCATTCCTTGATGTCCTGCATCCAATTTGTGTGTGCTTATATGTGCAGAAATAAATATCCTTTAATTTTTCATAATTAAAAATTTAATCTTCAAAAATATCAAAGGCCACCAAATTCTTCACAGCAAATGTCAACAATCCATGGATATTGTTATGTTCAATTTTTGAAAATGTGTTGTGAATGTAACTCAATATTTTTCAAGTGCAATCTTCTGATTATACTAGTGTGTTTTAAACAAGTTAATCAACAGGGTATTTAAATACATACAGTGAAGAAACTGATAAAATTATGTTTCTACATCTATACATTTTTTTTTAGCAATTATTCAATTTACATTTTGTCAATTCCCTACATAATTTTGTCAAAATGTGAGATTATTATAAATACCAGGTGGTGGTATTGACTTTTGCCTTTTTTATTCTGATAAAAATGAAACTGAATAATTTCTGTGATTTTATGTTAACATTATGTGTGTGAGCTGAAGTGAAATATTTGACAGAAATAAAATACTGTGTAACGTAACTTTCAACTGTTTGAGGTGTATGATCAATGTAGGTGTCTACAATCTTAGATTCTTGAGTTTCTGATTTAACAGCATTAAAAAAGACTTGTATAAAATCACTTTGAGTACAACATGCATTAGCCCTAGTAAAAGATGTAAAATAATTTGGCAGATATTGATATGTGGTAACAAGATATCTGTATCTTAAGCTTGCTTACAGTAGTTAACACATTCTACATTTTGGTACAGATGCCTTAAGCATTAACTAATTACTGAATAAGACTATAATTTTTTTCTGTTTAACTTCTGAAGAACAGAAATAAAAAGAATACAAATTGTATTCAGTTTTTCTTTTCATATTTACTGATATGAAAAGGCAGTCCTTCATGTAATGCATTTTAAAAACAAAGAACACAGAGAGAAAAAAGTTATTAACAAGAACAAGATCTATTCACATCCAACTTTATTAATCAGAACATTTCTAAAATGTTCTGTTAATATAAAATGCACAGTTAACAATGGTCTCATCTATATCACACTGATAACAACCACTCATACCTTCAACAGTGAAAGTCTACCACACATACATTTTAAAATAATCAAATTGAAAAAAATCTGGTATCAAAACATACAGGCTTATAACGGTAATTATATTAACATAAATAATATAATATTATTATATTATAAATCACCACGAGCTCCAGAAGTATGCACACTTCAAATACTTCCAATCATTCTTTTTAAAGTTACTTCAACCAATGCTATCACTTCCATTTAAATAATTAAATAATTAAAAAATTCTTAAAATCATAAATTATGGTCAGGTTCTATTTTTACCTATCAGCATTAACAAATGTCACACAGGACTATGCATAGCTGCAGTACTGAAAATGCATGCCATGAGTATTCTCACTAAGAACCAAATATAAAACAACTGCCTAACATATCTTTAAAACATCACACAATGTTTGAAAAATAAATTAAAACATCTGAAACTTCAGTTTGAAATTTGCAGCTCCAATATAAAAAAGCTCTAGTAATTAGTTTTGGAGATTCAAGATAAAGACTTGTGCTAATGGTAAAGCTGTCAATTTGATTTTACTTTAATCATGTAGAAGGTACTTCAAAAATATTACTGCACTGACAGAATGTCATAACGGCTTGCAATGTGGTATTGTAATAATAATATAATTGGTAGCAACTGTTCATAAACCACAGAATACTTATTTTCCTGATGGTTGGACTTGCTGTTGCATCTTTTTCATGGTTGCTTCATCTTGCTGGGAAAGTGCAGTTAGTTTTTTTCCTATCCTATCATGCACTTCAAGATATTTGGCTACACATCTGTCAATACAGACAGCTTCACCTTTTGAAAGCTCAGGATCTTTGTATTTAGCTGGTATACACTTCCTTTGGCATGCTTGTGTCATTCTGAAATAAAAAAAAAAAAAAATTTAAATACTGTACATAAAAAATAATAATAATTTAAATACTGTATAAATTCAAGTTATCTAAAACAATCAACAAGTAATAAAATAAACAGCAAATAGACAGCAAAAAAAATGTTTGATCTGTTAAAACACTGAACAGTCTTGATCGTGGTTGACAGTATCAAATGCTTTGTGATTCATTTAGACTCATTTATAGTATTACATTACACATAGGTTACACAGAATTTAAAAACATGATAATCCATTATAATTTATAGTAAAACTAGCGACGTTGAATCTAATTTCATCCAGCAGCCCTTCTTACTACATTAGTACTTGTCACAATTATACAACATGACATATTGAAATGAATAATAAGATAAAAAAAAATCTTTTTGGTTAAATATGGATAAGCAGCTAATTATTGCTAGATGTATTGACTACGTTGGCTCATTGATTATTATAGACTTATTCAGATCTCTTTCCGCTGAAATTAAAATCATTTCGATTAGACACAAACATTTAGAGTATATTTAAACACCTATACATGTTCAATGGAAGAATTAGCTTCTATACATTTTCAACGACATTTTTATCATGTTAATATTGAATATTGTATTTCTTGTAATAACAGCCAGCAATCTCTTACATAGAGATCTAAAGTTTAAGAACAAAGCAAGAAGATAGATGTACACAATTTGATAGTTGCTGCAGGCAGGAAAAGAAATTCAGTAGAACGTCCCTTAGTCCACTCAGCTCTATTGGACGTTAGAGAAAGTAAAGGCTGCTGATCACATGATCCCTTCAAAACACTACTTCACTGTCCCCATCCAATGGACCGTCAAGTTTGAAAAGGGAACTTTTTTCACATTCACATTGTGCGCTGCTGCGAGCTCAAAAGAAAGGAAACTAACTTGTCCTTTTTAATATGGCAAATATTTCAGTGTCAATACAATTTTATTAATTTATACAAGTGTTTGTGGATACCCTACCATATACAGTTGTCAAAGGCGAAGTATCATCCAAATCTAGACATGCATGCCAAATTGACACTACTTTTGAGGTGGATTTCCTAAACAGGACACAATTCAAATAATAAATGACATCATACTTTTCCAGACGAATTCCCTTTCCCCCAATCGTCACTAAAAGCAAGATGATGATTTAATATCATATCGCAGTTCTACTATACCCGAACGCGTAATCACAATTTCCAACAAAAACGAATAAATTGTTCATCATTTTAAAAAATTTTTTTACCCCGTCTCATATTTTGAGTTCAATGTCATTTATGAAGAATATGGACGACCTAATAATAGACAAGTTCATCAGTACAAAAGGGATTAATAAATGTTGGACCTCCCAAAAGTTTGTGAGATCTTGGACTTGGATGTAGGCCTACATACATAGCCTTTATTTCAATTGAAATTAAAGATAAGAAGACAGCCCTCTACTACTTACATTAAACAAGACAGCTATGTATATTAAACAACAAAGTCAACACAATATACATACGAATAGGAAAACTACTCTAAATTTTATTTGGAAAGATGGCCGCTGTTTTTATCTACTAATATTTATCTCAAACACCTAGTTTAAAGTTAGATTCATGTAGGCCGTTCGATTCACAGCTTCCGGGTTTGTTGTTTTGACGCCATCTCACGGCTCATGCGCTTACCAAAAATGGCGACCAGTTTCGCTTTCACTAATGGGTAGAGGGATAAAACTAATGATTACGAAGCCATCATTAATTTAAGAAATCGGAACTATCCGTTTCTATTTAAGTCTGTTTAAGAATTTGGCCAAATTTCTTTGTCTCGCAAGCGGCGCCTTAGTGAAAGTAGCTCTATATAATTCTTATCTTTCGAATCAAATAACTATAAAATACCGCTGCTATTTTTAACCAGACTATTGCTATTTTTTACTTGAAAGCATTAATTTTACACACATTACAATAAACTGGTAATAATTTATTGTAGGCATGAGATAAGCTCTGTAAGAATAATAATGCCATTTTATTATAATCTTTTTTGGTGAACACGAAGCGCGGGAAAATGTGTGATGCGCAAGAATCCAATCATTTGGCTAGATTTATGACTTTTTTTTGTGTCACACCTAAAAATAGAATGTTTACTCTTTCTTCATTGATGATCGTTTTCGTTATTTTTTAAACTGAACAGGTTTTGTAACTTGATATACTTACCCTTTATCAAAACTAAAAGCATAGCATGCTGATTGTGAACAAATATAGTCATAAAACACAGAAATATAAAGTTACAAACAATGCGATGTCAGGATGTGCCACACCCGGGCCACACCCCCTCAAGAAAACACGTGTTTATTAAACTGTTTATCTCACTTTACACCAGTAATTAAAATTAATTTTCAAATTTTTATCACTTATTGGGTAAGATTAAGCACATGTTTACTAAAAATTAAAAAAAAAAAAAACAAAAGCAAATTCTGTTTTAATGAAGGTCACGGGTCAAGTTTTTTTTCCTTCTGTCAAGTTCAGTGGAGGGTGCCACAGGCTGACCTGACTTTGGAATTTTTTTCAGTAATAATGACTTTGCACAGAAAGTTAAAATATGCTAAATTGGCTAAGTTTACTAGTGTGCAAGCTATTATTGATACATTTTTAATACAAAAAATCATTCTGTAATTCTCATCAAAAAGCCTAGTTTCATATAGGTTGAATTATGGATTTTTTAAAATAAAATATTCTGTTATTTCAAATACACCATTAACTTCCTTACCCCTTAAGAGAACATTTGACACCACATTTAAATATCTAGCTTACTCGGTTGATGAGAAAAAAGAGAATTTGAAAATTAATCAAAAGTGGAAAATGAATGACAAAACAGTGTTCTTGGCCCTCGACCGGCATAACATGATGTCGTGGACTTGTGTACACGAGCTTTTAATTCCCGCCATGGTAATTGCGTCAGCTTAGGTAATTTACTCACCGGAAAATAACAAAAAGCAACTCGTTGATAATCAAACTAGATCTAGTTATTTTATTATTTATTAAATTCTACTCCACATGATATTCATACCAATTTAAGAAGTAATGAACACCTGCATAAATCAAATGACCATAATAAATATTTTTATATCAAATTCTAATTTTAAATAATAAATATGCTTAAAATAATATGATAGTAATAGTTATGATAGTTTATAAATACAAATACATTTTACACTCAATTCACATTATATTGAGTCAACAGCGTGGCAGCTGAGGTTCATACATGGTATTAGTGTCTTTTTTTTTTTTACATTACATTTTTTTTTCATCTTGAAAACATGACGTATGTGATTATTTTTTTAAAATAAAATCTCCAAACATCGTCACTCGCGTGATTGCTTGCTTACATTTACTATACTGTAGATGAAAAATCCCACCACGGTCGCGGGTCACAGTGAGTTCAGCAGGCCCATAGTACACGTCATAGATTGAACACGCGTACACGAGATGGTCGGTGTCTTCACTTCTCTCTCTCTTCTCCCCCCCCCCTTCTTCAATCAAATTGAAAAACAGACCTACTTCCCTACTTCTTGTCATTTTTTTTTAAAGTTCGGTAATTTTTTTAAAAGTTCACATATCAGGTATGCTAGACGGCCAGCTGTATAAAAAAAAAATTTAACTAGATCTACGTCTAGCTTAAAAAAATAAATAAATAAACGCTTAAAATGCACGTAAACAGATTATTTAGCGCCAAAAAAAAAAAAAGGCCGCTGAACGAGCATTTTTTAAAAATACGCAGCAATGAAAAAGGCTAACGGCCGATCAATTAAGTCTAAAAATCGCCCGTAATTAGGCCTAGCTCTGAAAAAGCCCACTGAACGAGCATCATTGATTATATAAACGAATATGCCACGCAGCGTTGACGAGGTTAACCACCGGTCACGAATTAAATTCAATGCAGCTACTGTCGGCCCACAGTGAAGAAAAAAAATCAATATACTAATAAAATTACTAATACAATAATAATGTCCATAATTTTACTTTTTCCGCACATGCTACAATTGAATTATAATTAAAATACTAGATTTAACAGTTCATTCCGCAAAAAACAAAAACTAGTTTCTGTGAGGTAACTAGCGTAACAATGACGTCATGATACTAAAAATAGCGGATAGAAATGTCAGCGTGGGTACCTCATCCTCGAGTGAGATTTTGGAAAAAGTAATCAAAAATACTGTAAATATACATGATAAATATATCAATTATATATTAATGTACAGTTAGTCGAGCCGTTTTCCCCGTTAGTCGGTCGTTTTTGGCGGCGGTTCAGTTTTTACGGAGAGTGCTCCACTAGAAATCCTCTCATTATTTACAACCACGAATCTTGCGATTTTTTCTGGCATTCTAAGGCATATTATCCATTTTATTAGCAATTTGCATTAAAATAATGATGAGAATTTGCGATATAAACAGTTTTTTCATTTGTCGTGGATGGGACCCCTAAAATAAACGTAAAAACCGTCAGAAAACGACGTGTGACGTTTCAGGGTCAGAGGTCAATCCTACCATCTAAGCAACGCGCCAGACTAATATTATCCATATTATTAGCATCTTGTGTTAAAATAATGATAAGAATTTGCGAGATTAACAGCTTTTTCATCTGTCGTGGATAGGACCGGACCCCTAAAATAAACGTAAAAACCGTCAGAAAACGACGCGTGACGTTTCAGGGTCAGAGGTCAATCCAGCCATCTAAGCAATGAGGCGGCCTATTATATAGCAAATCTTGCTCTCAGACACTGCTGTTTAAAGTTAATTTCTGGCCTATATCGATATATTTAGCCATTGATTTAGGTTTATTATTCATTTATCTATAATATTTGACACAAACATATCACAATATACTTCTATTAAAGCCTTGACAATGAGGTAACGTTTTCGTACATAAATAGCCGCGGGCGATTTTACGTACCCAAAACGATAGATTACCCACTTCTTCACTATTTTAAAATTATTTTTATTATTTTACCCTCATCCGCTTTCGTAGCCTACCTGTTGTACATATCAACCATCATTTCCATTTCTAATTCATTGACAAATTTTAATGCGGCATCGCTCAGTTCAGGTTGGCTCATTTTTAAAGTTTTATTCTATCCGACGATACAGCAACAGTAAAACGACTTGCGTTACAAAGATTTGTTGTTATGAGTGTTCCACGTGCAGGAAGTAAACAAGGTGACCTCCCTTGAAATACACAACTCTAAGAATCGAAAAACAAATTAATCTTATAAAACATTTAATCAATGAAATAGTTAAGAAATGCATCCCATATAGATCTAGATGTATTTGTAACTTTTTATTTATCATTTAGACATTGCTAATTTATTAAACGGATGTGTTTTAAAAAATGTAAATGTAGAAGGAGTCAGTAATTATTTTTTTTTTTTTTTACATTTTAGACATATTTGAGAAAACAAACTGAACGCATCGAATTGTGGGTATAAATAATGAAATACTTAATTAAGTCAATAAGTGGTTCTTAAAAACAATTTTTCAGGAAATTAAACTTAGCAAATTTTTTTACATCCCCTATTTAGAATTAAATTGGGGGGGGGGGGAAGGAGAGGTGCTTAGCGAAAAAGCATGACATCATTAATTTTTTTTTTGGATGGCGCTTTTAGTAAACATCGATACTGACCTAAAAGTTTAAAAGGGAGGTAACTCTTCCATTTTAAATGTGTCTGAACTTAAGAATTGTTATTTTAAAAATGTTCTAAACGTTGAATATTAAGTGAAATATTTTAAAAACTAATCTATTCATAATTATTAATTACTAACGTTTTTCTTATTAGTATGAATGACATATAAAGTTTAGACGGGTTTTATATTTTCTAAGCAATATTACTTCTGTCAAAACCTTAAAAATGTTACAACTAGTATTTACTTATAAAATTAAAATCGGCTCATTTCATTGTCTATCAGTTAGGGATAATTCTGATCTGTAAGGTTCCGTTTACGGGCCTACAGTTTAGAAAAGTGATGATAGCGGTTGATGACCCATGTGAGTTAAATCCGCGGAAATCAGGAGTAACGACCCTGATTTCTAATCTGACCCTCTGATAGACAAACGTTCAAAAAAATCTATAATCTAGTTTGAGAGAATAATTATAATAAGTAAATGATATGCCAATAATTATAAACAACATTTATGCTACTTGAAAAAAGACTTGTTAAACTATATAAATGAACTAACGCTCTAGTCATATAGCCGTTGACATTAGTTGTCACTTCATTTATAAATAAGGAAGCGAGGTCTAGCAACTGGGGGGGGGGGGGGGGGGGGGGGGGGTGTTAAGAAAAAATATAGCTTTTTGTTGACATATAATAAAATGTTTTACACATACAGTGTCGTAAAATTGTAGGCCAATATTGTTTAATGTGGTATATATAACACGCTGATTTAATGGAGAGTGGAGATTTTCTAATTGTGGTGTTACGTACTATGGGCATTAAACTATTTAAACATTGGCGTAATTTTTTTTCGACATTACCAAATGTAGGTTTCCTGATGTAACTCATACTACCCACTTAGTTACCCCTCCCTCCATACTATAAGTCTTGACGTCCCCTGTTTTGAATTATAATGTTGCATACAGAGTTTCTTCCAGCCCCCCCCCCCCCCCGAACGAAATGGAATTTATATAGAAAATATATACTTTTGACAGTGTCCGCCCCCCCCCCCCCCCCCGAAAATTGTTGTCCGCATCCCCCCCCCCCCCAAAAAAAATTTCAAGTGCACCACCGGAGAAAAAAGTCTGGAAGAAACACTGGTTGCATACACCCCACGACTAGGCTACATTTGGAAAACTTTTCTTTAATTTAAACATAGATCTACATCGATTGATGAAGGCTATTTAATTTTAAATGAAAAAAGTATATTGTATACACAATTATGTTTATTCTACTATTTATTCAACTTTGGGGTCGTCCGTAGAAGGCGGCACACTCTTTTTTAGGGGGCTGGAATTTTGTGATGATATGTGAGGATGAGGAGGAGTGGGTCAGAAAGATTGACGTTTGTTTATAAAATGAATTCAGCCGTTATTTCCCGTTTTAGAAAACTGTTTTGTAATTTGAAATAGAAACTGATTAATATAATCCGTGTTGACCGAGCTCAGTAAATATTTAAGAAAGTAAGTGATGTTAAAAAAAAGAACTGGAATGTTGGCTGGAGGGGGTGCTGACATCATTTTAGGAAGTGGGGTGTGAGGAGGAAAAAATAGTTTTAAAAGCCTGCCGTCGTTTATGGATATACCTTATAATAATAACATTTAGGCCTAATTAGGAATATTAACAACAAGAATAAATCACTTTAGGGCCTAAGATTAAGAAGTGTCATCCTTGCAAAGTTTTTGCTTGACAAATTGATATTATTTCATGCAAATACAGAAAATGCGAAACTATAATCATGATACAGTTCATAAGCGAATAGTAATCGTTTGGCTGGTTGTCAGGAAAATATGTCTTCCGTATTTACATCCGAAAATTAGTAATATTATTCATGTACATGATGCGATGGATACTGATTGTTGGATTAGCACTGATGGTAAACAACTAGAAGAGCCAATACGTGCTTATGGTTCAACTGGCTCCAATTTATCACCTGGTCCTAAAATACGGGAACATGAAGATCTTGATATCCAACTTCATGATTTCAAAGTGAGTACTTAGATAGATACACTGTACTCTCTCTCGAGTCTGTCTCTACACTCTACTGACTGAGACTCTACTCTCTACTGAGTCTCTCTTTCTCTACTCTCCGACCGACGTCTCCGTCTTGGAGATCTAGAATCTAGATATAGTATATGAACTCTACTTTACCTGCCCAATGGATTACTAGGTCAAACTAATATAAATCATTTCAACATCCCTTCATAATCATATTATACTATACCGAGATCAAGAAACATATGAACTCTACTTTACCTGCCCAATGGATTACTGGGTCTAACATAAATCATTATGTTTTTTTGCTTTTTCTTCTTCAGGGTACACATTTAAAAGAACCATTAATAGGGGACAATACTGCTACCGTTGTTACGTAAGTCATACAAAAATATTTTAGCTTCAGCAACATTGAATTTACTGCACTCCTTGTCTTTATCTTTTCCTCCACATCTCCCTTGGCCTTCCCTGTGTTCTTTTTCCATTTTAGTGCCATTCATGTGATGTCATATAGTCTCATCTTTAAAAAAATGGCCCATCCATTTCTTTTAATTCTGATTCTAGTTTAATATCAATAGTTAAATTTTAACTGTTTCCCTGTGCAGCGTAGACAGAAAAGTGGCAGTACGTCCCACATCCCTGCACTCTTTGTTAAGTAGCCACTCTAGTGATCGGCATAGCGGATACTCTGAAACATCTTTCAACCAACATGACAGGTCAGCACACTAAAAAGTTACAATATCTTTAAAAACTATAGTATTTTAGGAATAAATTGTCTATTATTTTGTTATTAAAATGGATTTGATTTTCCTTCATCATAAAGAAAAACTTTTTACAATTACTTTTACTATCTTTAGCCTGTTTAAATTATTTTTGTATTTTGTGTGTGTTGAAATTGAATTTATCAGCTTTTGTCTCTATGACCAAACACTTTATTATAACACTAATAATATAGCCCTATTTATTTGGTACATGTTACAAAGAACAGTAGAGTAGAATAGTGAAAAAACTGATTAAAACATGAGTTTAAGCTTCTTCAGCAAGTTTTAGTGACCTGTAACTGGTACTGTATATATTTTCTTAAACTTGATACAATTAGCATATTATATATTATTTTAAAATAAATAAAATAATTGCTTGTTTGATTGTGTGTAAAGCTGGATCAGACACCCAAAAGTGAAAGAAAACTGGAAGATAGTTCTAGCCTCAGCCTTCCTGTCACTACTAGGGATAGGTAAGTTCTGGCTTGTATGTTGTAGGAACACACATTTTTTAGAAAGGTGGTAGAACACAAGACTGCTAACCTGAAAGTCTCAGGGTCAGATCCTGGGCTCGAGTCAGTAGGGCATACTGTGAGTTCACCCATGTAAAGATGACTGGGCATACAATTGATCACACTATCCTTTTGTTTGAAATTCATCACACTATGCTTTGATTTGCTGAAGCCCCTGAAATAGGTCAACTCTACTTTACCTGCCCAATTGACCAAAAGCGTATCATTACTTATATAACATCCAGTAGGATTAGATATTCCACAGCACAGGGTTAGGTTTAAGGTTAGTTTGTATGGGTGATGCTTTAGATGCATAATAATGTGATCAATGGGGCGGTATTTTAGTTCTAATGATAAAGTGATTATAAATTTCTTTAAATGACAGCTAATTAATGAATACTTTTGTAACTTTTACCTTCTCAGCATTGATCTTTACTGGACTAGGTGTTGCGCTCACTCATGCTCGAGGTGAGTTTACAGGAAAATTTAATTTTTTTTCACATTGATTTCTCTGTCATCTAGAACTTCCTCTTTGACAGTCAACTTCTCTAATTTAAAAATGACCAACAGTGCGCCTTTCTACAAACATTTGATATTTAAATATGATTTTTTAAAAAATTGACTAAGTTAACAGACAGTTAATGTCACTAGCTTATAGTTTTCTTTTAATAAAACTACAGTTTCTATAATTTTGTTAATTAGTTTATTATATAACAAAGTTAAGCTAAATTTAAGGTTTATGTATATTTGTTGAACTTGTGGTCTGGCTAAACTCCTTGAACATTTTCTGAGGTTTATATTAGGAGATGGTAAATAAAAATGTGTAATTTGAAGATAGTAAGTTATCGTCTACTTATTTATGTAATTTAAATTTGAAGACAGTTTGGTATCGCCTACTTATTTATGTAGCTTAAAACATTGCCTACAAATAAATTCTATGTGAACGCAAAGTAACCATCCAGACTGATATTTGTTCAATGTTATCATAGAGCATGGATTCCCAGCATTTTAGAAATATGAAAGAGCTTTAACTGGAGTTAATGAGCTCAGTTTGTTGGAGTTCTTGAATGGAATTGCACACTGTCGCTCTTGTTTTAGTTTTTCAAACTAATTTTTTTTGTCAATGTTTTCCTATATGAACCTCAAAGGGTTGGTTAATATCCAGGGATAATTTTGTTCAGGATCCATAACTCAAGCTGTTATTGTTTTCAGGTTACCACTGCCTGATCTTTGGAATTATTGGATTACTCTGTGTTATTCCTGGGGGTAAGTCTGTTGGAACTCTTTAATGTTTAGTGTTTATCATTCTTTTTTAAAGAGGGAACTCTTGTGCGTTTAGTGTTTTTTTTTAAAGCTGGAAATTTTTTTTGGGTTAAATGTTTATTATTTCTTTATCAAAACTAGACTTTACATACTGAATACTATAGGCATGATCTTGGCACATGTGAATAATAACTTTAAATAACTTTAAATTTGTTTGCAATGTGCTCTGATATCTTTGGCAGATGAAGTAGAGTTTATCTGTAACCAAGGCAAATGTAGGAACGGGTGTGGTCAACACCACGGCCAGCCATTTTAAGTTGACCCTAGGAATTAAATTCTAGACAAAGAAATAGCCTGCCCAATCACTTAAACCATACCAGCCCATGGGCCTAACTTAAATAAACATAATGTTTTACATACATTTTTAATTTAGTATTTCTTTAATATGTAAGTAAATCTATTAACTTATTTTGTTTACAGGCTACCATTTTGTCTACATTTACTGTGCTGCTCTTGGCCGCCCGGGTTACGCTTTTGAAAATCTGCCAGTCCTGCGCTAAATCTATCAGATTTCAGCACTAGAATGAACATTTTTTTGGTCAGCACATTAGCATTACATGTAAATTAACTTATTGATAGAATGGTAAAAAGCTGCACAGGAAAAGGGAAAAACAAAAATAAAGTTGTTCAAGTAAATGTGGAAAGAACTGATTAAAAGGTAAATTTGTAATGTGGAATGAACTGGTAAATAGTTGCACTTGGAATACTAGAAAAGACTTGTTAAAAAGTTGCACAGGAAAAAAGGAAAAGGGCAGTTCAAAAGCTGTACAGGAAATATGAAAAGGATTGGTTAAGATGACACAGGCTGCGTTTTTCTTGTCTGTACGCAGCTAATGTATTTTCATGGGATGGTTTTTGAATAATTTGTATTGACTGAATAATACGAGCATTATGGATGTTCTTCCAGTCTCTCTATTCCACTAACTTATTGATGGCGCTTAAACAGTTGCTCAAGCAGAATTTGTGATTCACATCCCTCCCCTTTTTTTTGCACCTGTTATCAAGCATGCACCAAAGCATTTGACTTGTGCATTGTATACAGTAGGTGTCGTTTTATTAAACATTGTTGACATGCACATGAATAGCTTTACAATTTTCTATAGAGCTCACCTTTAGTTTTCTATGTGGAAACTAGATGTAGTCATTAAAAATATATCAGTTATTATTAAATAGATTTTGTTTTAAAAGCATTTTTTTACTCTGATTTACAATATTTGATAAAAACTAATCACAGGCTATTTTGCTACATATCAGCTATTTTATTAAATTGTTTTAAATTTAATTAGTAAAGCTTGAATGTACAAACTACTTAAAACGTTCCATTATAAAATCACTTTTTTGATAAAAAATGACTTACCTGAAATGTAATGAATCTAATACTTTATTGGATACTACAAGATCAAAATATTTTATCATTTCTTTGTCAGGGAAATTTTTTATCATGATTTTTTTCCATTATTTTAAAGATCTGCTATAATCATTAATCTTGGTATTTACAGTTTTTGCTGAAGTCAGCATGCACATCAGCACATTTGTTTTGTTAAATACTTTTTCTAAATTGTTTTTAAAAATCTCATTCCACAATAGTATTTATACAGCTTAGTTTGTGTAATAGAATTTTAGCTAGTTAAAAATGTTGATCACATTTGCTTGTACTTTAATGTGAGGACACAGACTTACTTTGAAACAATTCTTATACCTGTGTCAGTCAGTCATTATGGCATTTACCATGTAGACTTATATGTTAGGCTAAAAGAATGCCCTCATACTACTTAAATTATTTTTTTAAAAGACCTTTAAACAAAAACTTAATTGCACTCACTTGATTTCAGATGTGTTTAAAAAGTTTAATAACATTTTAATATTTATATACTTTACAAATTTCTTACATGCAGATGAATACATTTACTAGTATTTTGTTGCTTTAGGCTTTCTTGGCCAAGCCACATCATGTATTGTGCAATATTTCTTAAAATAAGATAGCATAGCAGTGAATAAATATCTAAAGTTACCCGTAGAAATGTTAGTCAACAAGAGTGGTTTATTTTTAAATAAATACTTAACAAACATTTTTAGAAAAAAAAATTACATTTAACAAAGCAAACTTTATTTTTTTTTAAATAACTCCACATTTCAGTATATTTATTTTACAAAAATATATTGTACTTAACAAACATTTTTAGAAAAAAAAAACTTTACATTTAACAAAGCAAACTTTATTTTTCAAATAACTCCACATATCAGTATATTTATTTTACAAAAATATATTGTATTTCTGTTTTTAAAACCATTTGTATGCTAAAGATTCTACAGTATTTGTTTTGGCATCATAATTTTTTGAGAAATGTTGTTTGAATTATAATACTGTTTTAATTATTTCTGCATTTAAAGTCCACATTCCTGCATATTGTTAAGGGTTGTAAGGTGAAAGACTCAAGTTTTTTTTTCACCCAGATTTTCTTTAATAAATTTTAAGTTGTGTAGCTTACATACATTTGGTCGCCCTAGTCTTCCTTGTATGGTGATCTTTGTCATTTTTTTTTTCACTTTTTTAAAACTCGAAAGACTTGGTAAGACTTGTTTTCATTACACGGTAGGAAATTGGTTTTCCTAATTGATTGTACTCACACTATAAAAAAAATTGTTTTTAATTAACCAGAATTTTTTTTCTTTATACACCTAATTAATTTTCAGACTTTTTTTTCTTTCTAAGAGTTTTTACAGACATTTTTACAGTTTAAGTTTATAAAAATACTGGGACGTGGTTTATTTATTTTTTCAGTAATGTAACACCAGTAATTGTCTTGTAAACCAAGATTTTAAAAAGTTAACTTACCCATCATGACCATGCAGTCAGTAGGCCAGATAAAGTTCACCTGTTTACAAAAGAATAGTGTGGTGAGTTCTATGTCCAGCCGCCTTTATTTTCTCTTATGTAAGTCAGATAACCATCAGAGCTGGATAGGCTGAGGAAAATCTACTGACTCTATAGACGTTCTGGATTGCACTTGTGCACTCTACCATGCATCCACTCAATCCCATATAAATTGTGATTATATTTTCTGATTTTGTAACAATTTTTTTCATATAATTTCTTCCGTTTTTTTAGACATTGGAAATTCTATGAATAAAGACTGTATATTATTTTAATTTTTTAAGATTGGTTGTGAGAGACAAACTGCCGTTTAATACATTATAATGTTTGCTTTTGAGACTAACCAAGTTTTTCCACTTCATTAACAGATTGTATTTCAACATTCCCGGGTGTGTTTTAAGAATGTATTTAAATGTTAAAAATGTGTTTACCTCTACATTTTGTTGTTGTTTTTAACATGTTTATCAGCTGTGGGTATGTAACAGAACAAACACTGGCACATTAGAAATACTACACAACTGCTTGCCTGTTTTAAATCTGTTGAACTTTCATTAAGCTTGTAACAATATAAAACCACTTTTAAATTTTGAAATTTAAAAAAAAAACTTTTTTTGTAATAATTTTTTATCTGTACATTTACAGTACAGGGTTAACATTGTGTTTTTAAAAAAAATTGTTCAAAATATTACATTAATATACCTAAATAATTAATAAGTTATGAAATAAGGAACATCCCAAAAGTGCCGAAATCTCCACACTAATTTGTTAATTCAAGACAAGAGCTGTATGGACAACTAAATTGACACCTAATATATGAAATCTATCTTTTAAAATTGTCCTTCCTGTCCATCGAAAAATTTCATTATAGAACTGTAGTGAGTTTAAAAACACATATCCTGTCATGATCCCAGATTCTGCATCAGGGGACACAATCTACTTGACTTTCTATAATCATCTGGAGTTAACCTTATAATGGTGTGTACTCAATGAATGTTCTCTCTTTGCACCCAGTAATGATAACCTGGGTCATGAAGCACACTTAATTTTGCATAGGCCGATTGATTTTTCAGTGTTTCTATAAGCTTTTTATTCCTAAAACTTTTTTTACATTAAAATTGTACTTTGCTTAGATGACTTAATTTTTTCAGCATAGATTTAAAATTCAAAATTTTTATTTGTTACATATTTGGCCTGAGAAAACACAGAGCATGCTTGTTATTATTAAAGGTTTTAGAAAAATAAAAGTTAACGCCTGAAGATTTGGGAATGAAAACTTCAATGTAATAATAAATCTAAGCATAATACAATTTTAAACTTTTGCTGTTGCTGTCATTTAAAGTGTTATTTTTACCAAGAAAGTTTGTATGTACTAAATTTATTTTTATACTTGGAATAATTGGCTAAGAAATGAGCTGGCATGACATTTATGACTTTTGAAGTGTGTTCACTTTACAAATTACTACTCCTGTTAATTGTTCCGTAGATTTTGTAGTTAATATTTTCAATTACTCAATAGTATTAAATTTTTGATATTAGACTTCTTGTTTGAATTTCAGCACCAAAGTTTTTAGCATAACTTACAATGATTGAAACACTTAATAATTTTAACTGAACATTTTCCTATTACATATGTTTGTTGTTGTAAGGTCTTTAATTTTGTTAAATTTAGACCTAGTAAATTTTTTTTTTAATTTTTAACTTTCCAATTTTCTCCCCACAGTATTTTTTTACACACACACACACAAATGTGTGATGTCACCCATCTAACACCTTTGAAGAGTTATTTTTGTTGTTTGATGTTATTAAACAAATTATTTTTTTATATTTGAAATTTAATTTGTTTTATAAAAAATAATAACTTAATTTGTTTTCAACTCATTAAATTTAAAAAATAAATTTTTAATACTCAGGTTTTCAAGTATTTGAGGGGAAAAAAATTCTTCTTTTATAAGTCCATCCATCCAATATCATTACTAAATTATTTTATTTGTTTAATATTATTATCCTTTTTTAAATTTCCTTATTTCCATGGATTTTTTTGAATCATAAATTTTAAAGTTATTTTTTTAAACCCAGAATTTCACACTCAAGTCTTCCTTCCTTCATTAATATCAGTTCTTGCCATTTTCTTGCACAAAGTTATGGCAGCCATATTTGTTTTCTGATCTTTTTTTTTCATTTTTATACCTAAGTTATTTTAACCTGTGTCCCTTTGGATTGATCTCTTGAGGTCAAATACATGGATTGTAGCTTACCACTACTGTAATTTATTCAGTCTCATCAAAACTTTCTCCAACACTGAAGAGGTCAAATCATATCCAGTTGAAAAGTTTAACCGATTTAATGTAAACCATTATAATTCTTGTCTGTCTTAAATTATTGTGAGATTTGATTTTTGTGTTTGTTGGTCAAAACAGTTGAATAATTTCCTTTTTATTTTCAATGTTTAAAAGAAATCTGTCCATCTTGTCAGACTTTAAAGGGTTAATGTAAACCATTGTTGATTCCTCTTTGAGTTGTAATAATGTCATTTTTTAAAATAGTATTTCTGTGACAGAAACAGTTTTAAAATGTCTTTTGTCCAGATTTTTTTTTACATATAAGTCTACCTTCAACTGTTCTTTCTGTGTGTTGCACCAAACTGGAGTTGACTCACCCAGCAGTAAACATGCACTAATTAACTAGCAAGTAAGAAACTTTTCCGCATGATTGTAGAATAACTCTCATGTTAACAGTTGTAGTAGTGTTTAAATTGAAGTTAAGTAAACCAAAAAAGTGTAATTTAAAATGCAAAATTGTTTTTTTTTGTCTTGATAAAAAAATTGACTAGTTTTGAAACTTTGATATAGGGCTGATGTTTAAATTCAAGTTAAGTAAACCAAAAAAGTGTAATTTAAAATGCAAAATTGTTTTTTTTTTCCTTCATAAAAAAAATTGACTAGTTTTGAAACTTTGATATAGGGCTAATTTTATATTTAATACACATTATTTGATATGGTTAAAGTAAAGTTCTGAAGTTGAATTTTTACTTTGTACAATGCACCTGTGTTCATGATATATTGATAGTTACTATACACATCAGTGTGAATAGTACAATTAATTTTTCGCAAATGTTTAGTTGGTTGACATTTTTCTAGAAATCTATTTGGTTGAATAGCAAGTTTCTTGTAGTGAATAGTTTAGCAATAACAAAAATAAGTAGTTGTGAAATGTATCACACACTGGTTTAACAGTTTCTTAGTGAATAGTCTTACAACTAGTGAAATGATGTATCACAGATTTGAACCAGTTAGCCTTAATGGTGCAAACTTTTGTCAAATTTTCTGTCTTCTTCGGTTTGTTAATATTTGGTAAATAAAAGTTTTAAAATAAACAGAAACTATTGCATTTTAATTTTTATATTTAATTTTTTTCAGCCTTCTTTATTTATAGCTTTGTGCTCTAATTTAGCGTAATCATTTTCAAACTAGTTGATTATTTAATATTTAATTAGTATGAGAATTAATGCTTATTTTACCTACTTACCATAAGGGTCATGTACTGCTATAACTACAATTTTAATAGGTGTTGGATTTGACACTACATTTATGTCAGTCATAAGTGAACATGTACACCTAGAACTCAAAGAATCTTTAGTGGTATTGGTGTGTATTTATCCCTTAAGTGTGTATATTTGGACTCTTCCAAAAATTGGGTTAAAACCAATCATCAGTTTGGTTTTAGGGATAGTGTTCGGAAATGAAAGGGCGTTTTTATTTTTGGTTAGGAAATTAATTGTATGGTAGAAGAATTTTCTGTAGAACATAGCAACCGTGAGTGAATGACATTACGAGTGGGACTGTAGGCAAAGAATACGCAAGTTTTATGTTAGTTTTCATCTGTAGTCCAGGGAAAAATAAGCCTTTGTTGTCTGAAGTGAACATATTGTGGGAATGCCTTATGTAGGGAAGTTCCATTTTCCAACCTGATGGGCAAGTGAAGTAGAGTTTGCCTGTTTCTGTGACCCCAGCATATGAAGGGATAATGTGATCAACATTATGCCAACCCGCCTTTACTTTCCCTTAAAAATGAATTCATACAAGGGAAATAAGATATTCTATTTAAACAAGAAGCTAAGAAGAATTGTGACAAAAAAAGTTGGCCAAATTTAACAAGTGAAATTTATTTCTCAACCATATGTTACATTTGAAGTATGAACATACAATATAGCTTCTAAAATAGAAGTAAACTTTTCTAAAAACGTACACCTTTTTAAAAAACAAACATTGAAAATGTTTTTTCAGGTGAAAATATTTTCTCTAAAAAAAAAAAACCCATTAAAAATATGATAATCTGCCTCCATTCTGAGAAATGTGAAACATTTTTTGTGTGGAAATTAGTGCTTTAAAAAAATGTAGCTACAAATCTTGATCCCTTATTTTCATTACATTATAAGCTTTTCATATGTGTTTATGTTGATGTCATTTTACATGACTATCAGCAGGAATTTGTGGACGGGATTTTCAAAAAAAAAAAACATAACTTAGCATTCTGCCATTCATGTATGCCTTCAGGCAACCTAACATATGTGACGATTTCAGCTATACACATCACAAATGACAAGTAGAGACATACACTTCACAAATGACAAGTTCAGCCATACACATCACAAATGACAAGCTCAGCCATCCACATCACAAGTGACAAGATCAGCCATACACACCACAAATGACAAGATCAGCCATACACATCACAAATGACAAGTTCAGCCATACACATCACAAATGACAAGTTCAGCCATACACATCACAAATGACAAGTTCAGCCATACACATCACAAATGACAAGTTCAGCCATACACATCACAAATGACAAGTTCAGCAATACACATCACAAATGACAAGTTCAGACATACACATCACAAATGACAAGATCAGCCATACACATCACAAATGACAAGATCAGCCATACACATCACAAATGACAAGTTCAGCCATACACATCACAAATGACAAGTTCAGCCATACACATCACAAATGACAAGTTCAGCCATACACATCACAAATGACAAGTTCAGCCATACAATACACATCACAAATGACAAGTTCAGCCATACAATACACATCACAAATGACAAGTTCAGCCATACACATCACAAATGACAAGTTCAGCCATACACATCACAAATGACAAGTTCAGCCATACACATCACAAATGACAAGTTCAGCCATACACATCACAAATGACAAGTTCAGCCATACACATCACAAATGACAAGTTCAGCCATACAATACACATCACAAATGACAAGTTCAGCCATACAATACACATCACAAATGACAAGTTCAGCCATACACATCACAAATGACAAGTTCAGCCATACACATCACAAATGACAAGTTCAGCCATACACATCACAAATGACAAGTTCAGCCATACACATCACAAATGACAAGATCAGCCATACACATCACAAATGACAAGTTCAGCCATACACATCACAAATGACAAGTTCAGCCATACACATCACAAATGACAAGTTCAGCCATACACATCACAAATGACAAGTTCAGCCATACACATCACAAATGACAAGTTCAGCCATACACATCACAAATGGCAAGATCAGCCATACACATCACAAATGACAAGTTCAGCCATACACATCACAAATGACAAGTTCAGACATACACATCACAAATGACAAGATCAGCCATACACATCACAAATGACAAGTTCAGCCATACAATACACATCACAAATGACAAGTTCAGCCATACACATCACAAATGACAAGTTCAGCCATACACATCACAAATGACAAGTTCAGCCATACAATACACATCACAAATGACAAGTTCAGCCATACAATACACATCACAAATGACAAGTTCAGCCATACACATCACAAATGACAAGTTCAGCCATACACATCACAAATGACAAGATCAGCCATACACATCACAAATGACAAGTTCAGACATACACATCACAAATGACAAGATCAGCCATACACATCACAAATGACAAGTTCAGCCATACACATCACAAATGACAAGTTCAGCCATACACATCACAAGTGACAAGTTGGCAACTCTGAAGAGATAGAAAATTTAGATGTTCTATCTCTGGCACACCAAATGACAGCTTTTTAAGTAACATAATCATATATCAAATTCTAAAAGAACTTAATAAAGTGAAAAAAATGTGTTATCCTCTTTAACATTTACTTATTTAAATTAAAAATATGATCTATTTTGATAAACCAATTAAACATAACAGTAAAGATGTATATTTATTCCTAAATAAATAACTTTATATTTAAAATATTATGTCCACAGATAATAACATTATTTTCAAACTAGCTTTATGCTATATTATAAATCTAAGCAGGAATACATCCCCCTTTTCTGCAGTAAAATATAAACAGACATTTAGTGATTAGAATTTTGCTTCAAGCAATAAATCTGCATATCAAGTTCATGTCTAAAGATCCGGTGGCATCAAGCCATAAATTAAACAACTTGTTAAAAGATGAGGAAACCTGTAAAGCATGAATTTAAAATTCAAAACCTAGCCCCACTGAAAAAAATTATACCCAGTATCATAGTCCCACTATGGCAGACCATAACAAGAAATATTACTTGTTAATGAAAAATTAATTTAATTAAGCAATCTTAAATTGAACAATTATTTTAATCATTATTTTTTTGTTGTAAAATATTGAAATGGAATGTTTATGAAAAAGTATCTGGCAATGAAAAGTTGCTAATATATTATATATTATAATGTTTCAAACACTTAATACAATTTTAAAAGTTTTACAGTACTCTTATACATACCAATACTATACATACAACTATCAATTTTGTTATTTGTAATGTAAACTTCTCAAAATATAAGCAGCCACTTTATCCTAAGCAAGCTGTGATCAAACAGTGAGATTTTGCTAACCCTGGCATCAAGCTAACCAGCAGTAAGGCAGAGCACTAGCATAGAAAGCACTTTATGTAGGTAGAAATAGTTAACAGCTAAGAAAAATTGTCCTTATGGGTAAAACAGTCCTAGCATTTCAAAAAAAAAAATTTCCTCTGAGATACATTTTTAACAACCGATTGAAGTAGGGAGAATCACTCAATGATTATACTGGCACGAATAAGTCATTATATCACAGATTCCTTGAGATTCTGATGAAACATGTAATTGTGATCATCGTTTCTGGGGGAAAAGATAATTACAGACCAGTTGAAAACAGTATAGAAATGCGTGTAATATTTCATGAATACATTTGTTTTTGAATAGTGAAAAAAACTGCCTTGTTATTCTTTACCAAAGAATTTTAATGCTATTAAAGCAAGGTCAATACAACAGTATTCTTGGATAAGATTCAGCAAGTATTTTTTTTTATTATTAAAGAGACTGTATTTAATTAAATGCAACCAATTCTGACAACACTAAAAGATAATCTCTAAAACCTTGGAGATTTGAAAAAAAAAAAAACTTGTGATTTTTTTTTTTTTTACCTTTAGAGGGGCATTACTGGGCTTGACACGTAGTTCTGGACTGAAGACATTGTCAGTTCTCTGCCGGCTTCTACCTGGTGCGCCTTGGTTTGTGTTTTCGTCAGATCTTTGAGGGTGGCGTGGTACTGCCGTCTGCCTGAAAACAAATGAAATTTTAATATTTAAAAATAAAATCAAACGTGTTATTTAAAGGTGTAGTAACTAAAAGTAAATACACATTTAAAACTAGTTAGGAAAAGTATTAAAAAGTACAACTATAAATCTAAGATTTTTTTATTATTGTTTTTTAATCAAATATTTAATTAACATGTATGTATTAATTTCGGAGCAGTAGCGTGCAGCATATTTTTAACAATACGAAAATCCATTGAAACCTCTTGTGTTTGATAGAAAAAAAAAAACAAGTCTTAGAAAAAAAATTATTACTTTTGGCAATAGGTTATAAATACCTCTAACAACAGAATACTTGCCAGCAAGACTACTCATCGCCACTCTTTTAATTCAATACATAATTTTTATCCAAATAATTATATTTATTAATCTAACCTTAACCTTTATTGGTCTACTGATCATGGTCATGCAGTTTTGATACTATGAAAGGAAATAATATTTGACAACTGAAAATTTTGAAACAAAACTACATTCTTCTAATTTTCTTTGCCAGTTGTGAAAAGGCAAGTCAAAGCTGTCACATAATAAATATTACTTTAGGGATAAATTCTACAGAGATTGCCTACCTGATGCTTGTCCTTTGGATAGGCTCATGCAACTGCCTCATGACAGTACGAGAATCAACATTAGCCCTAACTGGTCTAGTTTCTGAAGAAAATTAATGTTTAAGTTTATAAAAATGACAGAAACTTAATATACAAATACTGCACGTGGATCTGATGTACAATTAAAAACACGTTCAATAGTCATAAACAAATCTCAAGCTGAAGTCTGCTAACTCCTGCAAGTAGAAACAGGTCTAAGGAAGGCTAGAATTTTTCTAGTCTCATCCCTAACAAAATAAGGCTGCCTTTTGAAGCAAACTTTTAAATTTACAGTTTTATTATTAAGTCATCTTGGTAATAAAATAAAATTTCATAGTTATCTTCATACCAATGCTAGTTTTGTCTGCAGCTTTTAAGCCTCGTGTTTCTCTCTTCCTTTCCTGCCCACGGACTGGCTCTGTGTTGATGCCATCCTGAGTAAAAAAAAACACATGCCAAAGTTTTTAAAGATGCATTGCAGTTAATGTCCTAATTAATTCAGCATATTTCCGTTTCAATAAAATAAAATTTAATGAATATTTCCAGTAAAAAGCGAAGCACTATAACAAAGAAGAAATAAAAATTAACACAAGATCTAGCTTGAACATTAACAAACGCTTTAGTCATTAATGCACATCATGAGCCAAATGCAGATAAGTACCTGTAACAACGAGTTGAGAGTTGCCTTTGCCCTCTGGCTACTTTTGCTGGTCCTGGCCGCTGCCCCGGTCATGTCCATCAGGTCCTGGTGCTCCTCATCTTCAAAGCTGTGCTGTCTCGAGTGTCGACGAGGGGGGCGTGTCATGGCCTCATCAAAGCTTCGTTCATTAAAAATTTTATCAACACATTAAATGATAACACCATGAAACTAATAAGTACAAAAATATACACATTAAAAAATGTCGCAATCATGTTACATTTTTTCATGTGCTGTAAAAAAAACATTTTTTAATAAATTAGTAAAGATTTTAATAAAGAAAACTTAAGAGAGCTGTCACTCGTTTATTTTTATAAACAAGCACTGACCGATTAACTGCTGGACTGTATTTGTTTGCAGTAGACTCAAGAGTTTTTAAATATCTTGGGCCGTTCGGTTCTCTGTTTGTGTTTTCATCTGCGTCCCCGCCATCCTGTCCTAAGTAGTCCATAAAAGGGCGTGACTTTGTGGATGAGTTGATATACTTTGACTTGAGAGGGGGCTTTGACACATGCTTCATCTGGTTCATCGCAAGGTTTGGGTCGTCTCGAATTGATGCCAGATCAGCCGCCTGGCACACACTCTAAGATTTTAAAGATAAACCAGGTTAATGAGTAATGCATATTTAGTTGTCTGTACTAGTCCCCGAATTTTTTTTTAATAAGTTACACAATTAAAGCAGCTAAAATACATTACAGTCAGTAAAGTAACCATTTGAACCTGGTTGTCCATGGAACAGGTAGGGTTCACCTGTTGCAGTGACCTCAGCATATAAAGGGATAGTGTGGTCAGCACTATGCACATCCACCTTTACTTTCCCTAATGTGAGTTAGTTATCTAACAGAGCCAGGTGGAATCAGGAACATTCTATTGGCATGATTTGAACTCAAGACTTTCAGGTATCAGTCATTTGCTCTACCATCTGACCATGTCGTCCCACACAGTACATTTAATCAGGACTAAAGGTATCTTTCAGTTTAGAGACACACACGTACCTGATGTTGGATGATCACTTCAGAGGGAAACATGTCCTCACAGAACTCACAAGGCAACATGATGTCTCCATCTGGACCAGCTACATTCACAGGGCTGAAAACAAATATCACCCCGAATGAGTAACAACATCTGTAATTTAAGAGTTATGTCAGTCTCTGTGGAATTTCTACAAGGATATAATGATTGTGGTGGAAGGACTAGGTGCTACCTCTGGGAGGTTCTCAGGTTGTTGATAACAGGTATATTGGACATAATGATTGTGGTGGAAGGACAAGGGACTACCTCTGGGAGGTTCTCAGGTTGTTGATAACAGGTATATTAGTGCGACTGTAGCTAGGGTTGGTCATCTCATTATTCAGATCATAAGCGCTTGTCTCGCCAAAATGGTTCACAGATACTTCACACAACTCCTGAAATTATTTGCTGCTATTAAATATTTATTTTAAATCTTATACAGACTATTGTCTACTTAAATGCCTCTAAGGATTTAAACATTTAATATCTCTTTTAGAACAATTTCCAGTACATTTTTAAAAATATATTTATAAACCATTTAAAGTATCCTAAATTTTTCAAAGGATTTAACTTGGTTATTGTCAAAAAATTTACTCTTTATCAACTTTTTAAAAGTATTTTATAATGTTTTGATGAATTTCTATAAAATGAAAAATGAATTTTAGTACTTTTTTTCTGCCACAATTCTACTTCAAAGTAAAAAATGAAGATAAAAAAGAAGAATAAAATGGTTATATTATGTGCTGTTCTAGTATTTCAATTTCTTGTATTCTAATTAAAAAAAAACTAGCTATACAAACATATCAACAACATGTAAGGAATAACTTAAAAAGTGACCAAATCCTATTCAGAGTAAGGTACATTGATGAATATAAATTTATACTGCCATCAGATATTTGTTAATTTGCATTGAGTAATGCAAAGTAAAAGAGCACGTGTGCACCACATATTAGTGTCTATTTTATGTACTCAATCATCCAGGGGTTAGATAACTATTTCTCTGAAACACAAGTGACAAACATGATCTTACCACATGATCTAAGTACTGGCTGAGAGGAACTTCCACATTACAAATTTCACATGGGATACTCATGTCATCGTCTTTATTTAGTGCAAGGTGAGTTAAATTGGAAGGAGGCAAATCATAAAAGCATTAATAAAAAAATGTACTACACAAAAAGAATTATATTTTACCATATGAAATTAAATTTATATTTTTTTTTACATAAACAGCAGTTAAAAAATATAAACTACATATCTATTCCACCTGAAAACGGTTCCACACCAGTGTTAGAAGGCTGCACCTCGGTGCTGTTATTATTTGATAAAGAATTTTTTCTAGGACGAACTTCATCATCAAGAAAGTGATTGTGAGACATTGGCAGAAAGTCGTCCTCTGGTGGTAATGAGGGGTAAGGCACCTGAACACCATCCACGCGAATGTCTTCCTGGGAAAGCAATTCACGCGTCAGTGAAGTGGTTAAACAAAACGTGTTACCCTTTCAAACAAAAGGCAGGTGAATTAGGGTTCACCTGTTTCTGTGAACTCAGCATACGAAGAGATAGTGTGGTCAGCGTGACATTGACTAAGCTTGTCATTTTTAAACTACTTTCAAAACTTATAAAAAATAATTTACTAACATTTTGCAAATGAAGCAGCTGTGAATATAACAGACACAGGTAAGCACAAACTAAGAAATACTACAAACTAATAAAAAGGGATAAAGAGTGAACACTGTTAAAAAATAATTTGGACTAAATGAACATCAAACTAGGTTAAAAGGAAAGAATTGTGGTTTTTGTGTTTGTTTCACCTGTTCCCAGTCATCATGTGCTAACTGGATTGCAAGCATTGTGTCATAATCCATATCTGGGGGTATGGAGTTGCTGTCTTCTCTTGAAAGTTGACTAGTCAGATCTACATTGAGAATTAAAATCAATATATATAAAGTTATTAAAAAAGCATTCATAGGAGGGAAATAAAACAAGTTTTCATAAGCAATAATAGTATATGTGAGTTATAAAATAAAACTGGAGGTGATGGAAATATATAATGCACTGGGTATTTAATTTATTCACCCTTCAAGCAGTGGCAGAAAAATTAATAAAGATTGAAAAATTGAAAAAAAATAAGTAAAAATTGAATTCTTTTTAAAAGACACAGGTGAAATACATCACAAGGAATAAATTAAATTTAAAAAATAAAAATAACCATAAATTTACATACTTTTTTGCATTTGGATATTCACATCAGTTTTCTTATTCTCTGTTCTTTTCGTAGGCTGGTTTGTGTTATTGCTTAGTGGTGTGTACACTGGTGGTTTGCTGACAGTGTCCACTGGATGATAATATTGCACATCTCTGTTCAGGTTGGACCATAAACTCAATGCACCAAAATCTGGTTCATCTTTGTAAGAAAATAAGTATATACCATACTGTTAAAGCAAAAACTGAATCTAATCTGTGTCTAATCAGTTCATTTATTGCTTAGCTTTAATTTTTTTCTTTAAATTCAAAAACAGAGTTTTATGGGATAGTACTTAGTGTGTACAAAAAATAATGTAAAATGTCTAAAACATACAGATAGTAGTTTTTTTTTTAAACTTTAAAGGACTAGGTAGTGGTGAAGCAATCTACTGTAAGGTGTAAAGGAGTAGATCTATAACTACGCACTACCTAAATTACCAACCAAGTCAATAAAACTATTCAACATGTTAGGAACAGTACATGAACAACCGCACCTTTTCTAGCCATGCTGGTCATAAAATGTAAACAATGGACATCACTTACTCAGCAGCTGCTGCAAATCATCCATGCTGAACTGACCAGCATCAACCTGCCTAGGGGGTGGTTTAGGGTCAGGGTAGGTGCATCCAGAGCTTTCATGTCTCAGCATGTCCTTCAGCATCACATACTGCTTACAAAGGTGGCAGCACTCTGTGCGGCTCCCACAGTATTCCATGTGAGTGGCTAGCTCATCTTTTGAGACCGTCAGTTCACAGTACTGGCATAGGACAGGCTTTTTAGGGCAATCAGATTCCTGTACGCAAATAATTCAAACTTTGAAAAATTATCAATAAATTGCCATGCACTCACATTCTCCAACATAATAGTAAACATGAAGAGGGATTTGGAAACAGGCATTGTTAATAAAATAGCAAGATAGACATAGTGTTATCTCAATATCAAAGGTAGACATATAATAGTCAGTCTACAATCTGCCTTTTCTGTAACTTTAATACATACCTATAAGCCTAACTTTGGCATTGAGATATAACACTTTATGTCTAAATTGCTAAAACACAAAAGTGGAACCACATAGAATTACAAATTTCATAGCTATTTTGAATGTTGCTGGCTAAGAAACAAATACAGGATACTTTCAAGTTAATTTTAAAAAAAAACCACAAACACCCATATTCAGGGAGTGCACTGTTAAAAAAAAACTATTGACAGAAGAATTGTGTGTATAGCAAAAGATGAGCGCCTTACCATATGTTTTTCCATACAGTCCTTTGAGATTTTCTCTTGACATTTGTCACAAGGTACTTTGGCATGCAGCTCATTGAAATGTTGTTCCAGCTCTGTCTGGGGAATGGGTTCATCACAGTGCTCACACAAAACTATGTGCCGCCGACAGTGAATTTCATGCATCATGAAATTTGCAGAAGATATGTGTCGTTTGCTATTAGAAAGTTGAATAGTATATTTAAAGATGTATAAACCAATATATTTTATAATTTGAATAACAATAAACATACAGGACGAGTATCAAGAAATTACAAAAACAATTTAATTGAGCTCTTTTAATACCAATGAGATCCTTCTTGGTTCAATTTTTACTTATCATTTATTAATTTAACAACAAAGTTCTCTACAGTCAATCAATTACCAGTTTGAACATTGCTTTGTATCATCCTCCATTTTCAGTTACTCCTTGAAATTTGTCTTGGCCTAAAATGGTATAAAAATTGAAAATAATTATGAGTAAGCCATGTTGTAGAGTAAATTTGGTAATGTTGAACAGAAAACAAACCAAAATTATTAAGAATAAAAACTTAGTTCAGTAGTCTACAGCTGACAAGCATAAGAACTTAGAAAGGATAAAAAAAATTACAATTACAAAATAATTGTACCGGCTTATAATGCTAATATTCTTATAAACAAGTATTATGCTTCACTAGATCATTTAATTATCTGTAAAAAAAAGCATAAACTTTCTTAAAATGTGATATTGACACTGGCAGAGATGTAACCACCTGCTTAAGGGAGGGGGGGGGGGTGGTTAAATTTCTCAAACAATTTACGGTATCTCATTTTCAAGATTTCTTTTTTCCATAAATTAGAAAACCATGATTTCTAGGCCGTGTCAGATTGTGTAACCAAATCATATTAAGCCTACATCATTATTCTGAGCAAAAACCGAAGATGATGTAAATTGGATATTTAACTAATCGCGCTTGTAGAATGTGCTAGAGCAGTCTTGAGTTGTAAGCCTAATGGTCAGCATGACCACGAGAAACAGGTGAGTGTGGTGGGTATTATGGTGTCACGTGGTGCAGAAAGTGTCCGTAAAGTTGATTAAAAGTAATATAATGTGAACAGCACATTTCCCTGTACATTTGTTTCACATTTATAATAGTCTTTCAAATTAATTCGTCTTTTCTTTTTGGCAATATAAAATAGATTAGCGCAAAACCTTTTTATTTGGAAACCAAGAATCAGCAGAAATATATTGTTTTTGTTTTTGGCAGACACTTTTCCTATAATGAAAAAAAAAACTGGTTCAGTAAAAAACGGAAATATGTTAAATCTCTGCTTTATTAAAAAGCCACGATGATATTGTGATGTAGCTGATATTGCACAGCCTAGCGGCAATCTATAGATGATGACACGTTAAGTAGTAAAATTTAACCCACCAACACATATTGTCATTAACAGTCATCAAAGTCAGAACATACATCTCATAAAAAAATCACTCCCTCTCTACAATGAAAATTCTTTCCCATGCAACTTCTGACTAGCTTTATGAAAAAAGTGGGTAAAATAGAGTGGTAGTGTCAGTGTACGACCACACGGAACACATTCACACGGTCACAGTAAGTTTACATGTTGTAGACTAACAATCGCCTTTTCCTCTCCCCCAATAAGGTAGATGTAGTAACTGCGTAAATGTCCTCATGCAGTGTAGACATGTGTGTATAATAGTGCGGAATTTTAGTATTTATAAATTCATGTGCTTTTTGAGAAATCGTAAAGTACTACGGAAATCAATTTTTTTTTCAAAACTTGAAAGAAGGCAGAGAATTAGATCTTTTATTTATTTGTGAAATATTTTTTTTGTCTAGATCTATCTGAAACATTTCTCAAGTTATAGGCCTAGTCTTTTGAAAAACCAAAAGTAGAATAAGTTCCACTTCCAATTACTGGATATTGCTGAAAAGTAGAGACATAACTACAAATTTGATATAATAATACTTAGGCCTATATACTATATACTAGTTAGTTGCACAAACCAAGAAAATATGACGTCACAGTCTCAAAACCTTTCGTTTACAAAGAAAATAATTACGTCTACAGCCGTTTACGCATAGCGCATCAAACGGCTTTAAAATAGATATCACGTGATTCCGTAACCCGTTTTAACTTTAGACGGAACGACTTGATGCGGCCGCTTACGGCAGATTAATTTTTTCTTCAAGACCCCTTTTCTATATGTCAAAACAAAAGCCACTTTAAAAGGTAAGTTTTAAAAAATTGTATTAAAATATTTTAACACTCGGACTAGCTCTGTATTTGTTAGGATTATTTTAATAATCCATTTTTCTGCTTAAGTCTATTTTTTTGTAATATTTTAGTCTTTAGCAGACTACGAACTTCGTCTCACAAAGCAATCCTCCGAATGACACTATTTAAACGGTATCGATACTTTTTAAACACCTTTCCGCGCCGATTGATTTATTGTAAAATATAATAAATTTTATGACATTGACGCTTTTAAAAAAAAAGAATACTTACAAAATTGGAGTTTAAATGTTGCTAACGTAATTATCTTGTGTTAAATGTTAATAAAAAACACATTTATACAAATATGTAACGTTTTGAAGGCCCGCTCTAGTTGTAACTAATTCGCTGTAATCATGATCGAACTGGGAATCGAGCTATTAAAATAAAATACTGTAAAAAGATACACACTTAAACTAAACATGGATCGAGTGTAATATATTTATCTATTTAATTAAATGCACTAGTAGACTTCTTTTTGTTAATTATTAGCAATGTAGAAAATATTGAAAATGGTCTCACAAAGTAGACCAATACTAGTAATATCGATACCGCTTAACACGCATCTCCGTTCAGCCTTAAATCTAGTATTTAAGTATTTTAAGCCCCGAACTTACTAGTTAATTAATTAGCTCTAAAGGCTTTATACATGATTAATATTGATAAAATTAAAATTAGTGATTCAATTATTGTTTAAATTGTAAGGTTCTTGTTAATAAAACACCATATTGCAATGTCTGTCAACCTATTAAGTAGGCCAATTAAATATACTGTATATTTTAAAATAGGCATATCGTTGTTTTCGACTTACTAGCTTATTATTACTCAGTTGTTTTTTAAACACTCACAAACACACTAGCTTTTGTTTAACTAATAACTGTAATAAATATATTAATATGTTTAATATTATTAAAGTTTAATTAACTTTATTAAGCCTATAACTTGATATATTAGTAGTAACATATTTTTTGCGGACGTTACAAAAACACAAAAACCAGTCACTCTTTTAATTAGTGGTATCGATGCCCTTCTTCAAAAGGTCCGTGTATTTTTTTTTTAAATAATAAAATATATTATAAGTAGAACTATTAATTTTTTTAGCTATCCATTGTCAAAAATTAAATAATATAACTATAATTAACTACTTATGATTTCATTATTTATAGGCAAGACAGTATGGGGAAGAAGAATGCCTTGAATGTAGTAAATCTCTACCAAAGGTATTCTGGTGTAAGTGGTGAAGTGTGAATAGGCAATGTAGTTTATTTGTACTATATAAAAAATAAAAATATCTCCAAGGTACTTGATGAGATATTAGATAGAAACAGACATATAAAAACAACAACAAATTAGTCTGCTAACAGAAACTCTGTAAACAGAATCATAAAAAAATTCATGCTCTTAAAATCAAACCCTGAAAGAAATTGGCAACAGTTGGTTAGTTATTTCAATGAACCTTATGTAGGAATAAACACACAGGCAACACCACTATCTGTGAGAAAAGGTTAAAGCTAAATTAAATAAAACAATGAAGTGGCTTGATGCACAAAGTATCAATGAACAAAATCAGCTAATTGATTTTGGTATAACTGAAGGTGTTCGCAGGCGAAGATCACACAAAACCCAACAGCGAGAAATTGAAAGTGAAATCATACAAAGAAGAGAAGAATCAATTAAAAAGAAAGAAAATAAAGAAAGAAAGAAGTTAAAGATAGATGTTGATAAGTTGGCAAAATGTCAGTTATTTATAAATGATGAAATATTCTGCAATGTGGAGACCAGACAAAAACAAGTGTTAGCTAAAATTATCAATGGAGAAGATATGACTGGCCAACTGCTAAAACACAAGTGGTAATGTATAAATGACAATGACACCTTGTTTTTTGGTAGAATAGTCTTAAGACTCTCAGCTAGTGAGACAAAACTTGATAGATTTGTAATTGCTTTTATTGAAAGTTATTGGTCAATTGATGAGGAAAATAGTGAAGACTCAGAACTCAATGTAGCTACTTTAATAACTGATATGATCAGTAAGCATCTGTTGTTTGAGTTTTAATTTACAAGTTCCTTTAGAAGTTATATTGTACAATTTTTAATAAACTAAAGCTATATCCATTGCAATGTTCCTTTAGAAGTTATATTGTACAATTTTTAATAAATTAAAGCTATATCTATTGCAATGCACAAAGTTAGTCTCTTTATAAAACACAAGAATTTTTATATAAATTTGTGTGACTGCTCCTTGTTCAACAAAATACAATTCTAAGTTCATATTTGTCAATATCATAACTATAAAACTAATAATAATATATGCATCTGATTAGCAGGACTGACCAGATATGTAGTTATGATATGTCTGATTATTCCTGCAAATCAGATGCATATATTAATATATTCATAAATAATCAGCCTTTAGCTTATTCATTTGACTTTGAGACTACACATCCTACACTGTACACAAAACTAGCCAGATTATTGCTTCTATTAACACATGACTCTTAAAATTAAAAGCTTATAAACTTTGGGACTTTCCTATATAATATTAGATCTATATATTTAATAAAATAAACAGACACACTCTGTGAATTTGTTTTATTCTATTTTTTAATGTAGGCATAAGTTTTGTCATGATGCATATTTTTTTAAAAATGTCTCTCAATAGATCTAGAATCTAGAACGCGCCCTTAAAACCTCGATGCAGGTTGCATTCCACCAACCCGTAATAGATTTCACTTAAGGCCAGGGCTCATCGTAGATCATGAACAATCAGGGTTGAATTTTGGAGTAGAGCTAGATCTAGATCTTTGTTTTAAATTCATTTAATTTTAATGCACCATGCAGGTGTCCGTAAAAAATTCAATAATCGTGAATTTCATTTAAATCTAGATCTAGATCTAGTTAAACTTTAGAGTTTAGACATATGAATAATGGCGATGGGGGTTGAGTCTAGGTCTAGATTCTAGGGTAGAGTCTAGCTATTTAGTTTAGTACTAGATCTAGATCTCTAGATCTCTAGATCTAGATCTATTTACATTTAGTCTTAGTAATTACTAATTAGGCCTAGTGTTAAACGGCAAACCTACTTACTTAATTTTAGGCTTTTTTATTATTAAGCTTTCATTGACAGTTTAATCTAGCTTTGGTATTTCATTAAGCGTAAATATATTTAAAGCTAATAAACTAGATTGTTTAAAAACATGTTATTACAATTTATTTAGTCTTACGTAACCTACTCTCTTCGCACTAGCCTAGACGCGCGCAAAGTTAAACTGCGATAATGTAATAATTTTGAGAGATTATAATTATGCCTTTTATTAGAAGATTTTCCCATTCGCTTTTTTCGTACTCTCGACGTGACCAACTTTTGGTTTCATTCTCCATCTTAGTTGTCCCCGCAATTTTTACACTAAAACCGTCATATCTAGAGAACCGTTTATCCAATAAACATAAGTTTGGTATTGTTTTGCAGCATTTAGTCCCCTTTATACAACCCTGTCGTTATTTTTGTCATTTTCATCAATTGAAAAATTGAGTGCAACTAACTACTATATACTATATGAAATTTCATCAACCTAGTGTTCACAGAAATACATAGTTTTTACAGACACACATAGATATACATTACATTAATATACAATTGAATATGGACAAAATTGCAGCCTTCTTAAAGTCTTAAACTTAAACTTAATATAAAATTTGACTTCTTCACTTTAATTATTAATTATAGATCTAGAAATTCTATTAAATCTCTAGATCTAGATTCTAATCTAGACCTAGATCTACTAATCTAGATTCATTTTTTAGGCCTACACTACACACACACACAAAATGTAGTTGGCCTAATGTAGCGGATTTAATTTTAAAACAAAAAAAATTTAGTTGTTGTGTATCCTAATCAAAAGACAAGAACTCAACTGGTAGACTTAAAAAGTAAGTAGATTCTGGATCTAAACTAGATCTAGATATTCTATGGTTATTTTTAAATACACAGGGTATGTAAGTTAGAACTTACATTAAATAGATCTAGATCTAAGACAATCTAAGTTCTAGAATCTAGATCTAGATTCTAGGTAGGTTTTCTAAGTATTAAATAAAGAATTTGAAACCACCTATGTTGCTGGTCACTATTTTTATCACAAATACAATGACTAAGAAGCCTGATCAAATTATTTAAATATTGCCAGACTTGACAAGATTTATTGCCAAAACAAACATCTATTTACTACTATTTAGATCTAGATCTAGATCTAAATCTAGAATCTAGGTCTAAAATAATACTAAAATGAATTATATAATAGATCTGTAACAATTCACATTTTTAAAAAAAGTTATCTCTTTAAAAAAAAACTAAGCTCTATTTTTTTAAAAATGTAATCAAATAAAAAAAAAAACAGCTTTTTATTAAAACGTTTTTAAAATACACTGAGAATAAAAACAGTTTATTTTCTTTTTAATATATCTAGAGTGCCTTACCTTTAGCTGATAGTCTAGTAAAAAATAAAAGGGTTTTATTTTTTGTTTTATTTATCACTTTTAGTATAGTAATTGAATTTAAAAACGTAAAATAATAAATCGGTATATATGTTTCTCATAGCATTTATTAAAATAAGCTTTTTAATATTTATTTTGTGCATTCGTTTGTTATTTAATGAAGTCGAAATATCTGCTTTAAAACGTCTTCAAACGTAGTGACCTTTTAAATTAAAAGTTGTTTTTAATATTTTTTCAGTTTTTCCAGCTCCTAAAATTTGCATATATATATGGGGTAGGGGGCGGGCAATGGTTAAAGCATATACTTTGTATATAAATTCTATTTCGTTGGGGGGGGGGACGGGACGTGCACAACAAAACTGACGCAACTATGTGAGGTTTTCAGCAACTCATTATCAGAGTTTCTTCCAGGCATCTCTTCGGGGGGGCGAAGCCCCCCCGAAAAATTTTTACCGCCCCCCCCCCCGAACGAAATGAAATTTATATAATTTATATAGAAAATATATACTTTTAACAGTGTCCGCCCCCCCGAAGAAAGTTTACCGCCCCCCCGAAGATTTCAAGTGCCCCCCCGGAGAAAAAAGTCTGGAAGAAACACTGCTCATTATAACCCGTATCTACTATCTAGACGCGTGACCTTGTTTTTCTAAAAAATGAATTTGTTTAACTGTAAACAATGCCGGTACTATATATTACCCGAGTTTCTTCCAGGCATCTCTTCGGGGGGGGGGGGGGTCGTCCCCCCCCGAAGAAAGTCTACCCCCCCCCCCCCACGAACGAAATGGAATTTATATAGAAAATATATACCTTTGACAGTGTCCGGAAATTGTTGTCTGCCCCTACCCCCGAAAATTTCAAGTGCACCCCCGGAGAAAAAAGTCTGGAAGAAGCACTGTATATTACTGGATGTCCTCCAGATATCTGTCTTTCAGAGGCGTAGCGACCCCTCTTGGCGCCCGGGGACAAACTTTCAATTTGGCGCCCTCCCCCCATATATTTTTTTATATTTATAATTCAAAATAGCAGCTAAAATGAGCTTATTTTGACGCCCCTATGGTCGGCGCCCTGGGACATATGTACCCCCCACCCCAGTCGAAGCGCCTCTGCAGACTTCACCTTGGAGTTGATTCTGCGCACCTTGGTTTTCAGTTGGAATATCTCTAGAGGCTCATATCTTCTTAAGGTGGATGGAAACTGATATTACCTAGTCTATTTTTTCGTATATCTTCGTCTGTCATTTTCTTCACCCCCCCCCCCAACCTCCTTTTTTTGCTTTACTTCCTTGACATCCTCCATGGAGCGTGACTTCCGTTTACCATTACTGATTCTTTACTAATGGAATTTGTCTTCAATAACATATGTCTTTGTCAGCGGCCCATGTCACAGGAGGGGCGACAGGCAAACCTAACCTAACCTAACCTTCGTCTTTGGCTTGTTGATTTCTGGATCGCGTTTTTATGACATGACATCCACCCCATCCGTCTAGTCTTCTCTTGCATCTGCTGTGTGAGAGTAGTTAAAGCATCATAATCAAAATCCTGATTCTACAAGATCTACTAGAACTAGATTCATTTTCTCTTTTCTTTTCACTGAGGTTGCCCCCGACCCTCCTTACTGCTATTTACAAGTATGTGGCGTCAACAGACATTATCGTACAGGGGTTCCGTTGCATGCTTTTAAGCAATCCCAATTGAAGGGGATCCAAAATTTTAGATCTAGTATATAGATCTATATAGATTTATATTTAGCCTTAACTTTATCTAACATTTAGTGTTTATAGCCAAACTTACGTTATAATAAAGATAATGTGTTTGACTTTTAAACCGCACTTTAGTTTTCTGCTATTGCTTATAAAAATATAGTATTTGAGGAGTTTTAGAAATGTTTCTAATTAGACTACGTTTTTTGTAACAAAAACGTATTTCTAAATCTTAAATTGTGATAGCTGTTTTAGCTCATTTAGCCTATTTATATAAACTTGCTTCCCTTGAATTTTTATTTTTTAGCGCAATTTCCATTCTGGAGAATTGCGTTTATTAACTCATCTTTTCTGGGAATGAATGGATGAATGGATGGATGGATGTGTGTCCGCAGCTTTAAGTCGTATCTCCTCCTCAACGAAGCAATATCGAGGACTAGTTCCAAAAGCAATTATGTTAAGCAAGTTACGAGGATGAACATAGGCCATAAAAATTCCGGGTTTCTTTCATGGATTTCCCGGAAAAGCCAAAAAACCTCGAAAAAAGTAGTTTTTGGCCCATAACTCGGCAACCAGACCACTTAGCGACTTGAAACATGTACCAATCGATTCCTGCCATAATTTAGAACAATATTGCCGAAGAAAGTTTTCAAAAATATCCTTTCGTTTGGTCACAAAATTTTTTTTGAATTAATTAAAATTTGGACCGAATTAGTAGGCATTTTATGCAACCACACCACACGCGTCATCACGTTCAATAGCTGCGCCATCACGTTCAATGGCTGCGACGTCACGTTCCGTAGCTGGGCGCGCAATGGTTTTTAGTCATGTTACTCTATTGTCAATAAAACATGTAGGCCTAAAATACTGAATTTTTTTTAATAAAAAACGTTTTAATAACTAACCAATGGTTTTACTAACCCTGCTCTTGATTTACGCTACGACAGAGCTATTTTTAGATAACACAAGGACATTGCACTAAAATTGTCACTAGACTTTTTTTAATTACTTGTTTATTTATATATTCTAAATGGGAGGTAATTTATTACATCGGATGAGGTGAAATTATCATTTGCTATAAATTACTATAATTCCATATGCGACGGAGTGGTCTAGCGGTAGAGAGCTGGACTGCTAACCCGTAAGTCACGAGTTCGAATCCTGGTTCAAGTCAGTAGACCGTCCCTGAGTCCACCTAACTCACGTTAGGGAAAGTAAAGACTACTGGGCATGGGCATAGTGCTGACCACACTATTTCTTCATATGCCGAGGTCACCGAAACAAGTGAACACTACTTCCCTTTGAAAGGGAAAGTTGTAACTTTATAATTCCATACATACATTTTCCAAGTGATTTTGCTTTGTGAGCCTCAGATTTAATTTTTATAAGTTCATCTTTGACTTATATTATTGATATGTAAAAAAAATTAATTAGCGGCCTGGCGTCAAAATGTATGCATATAGAATATCAATCCGTTGCATGCTTTTTAAAAAAAAAATAACTAAACTTTCATCTTGGAAAATATGTCAAACTGGGCTTAAATTTGTAGATCTACACTTAGATCTAGTTAATTTTAGAAAGTTGTTTAATCAAATGTAAAATAAACAGTTTTCTGAGCGAGTAAAATTTTCAATATGGTGTCACCCCCACTTCGATCGAGAAATGACGTAGATCTAGGCCTATTTATATTATTTAACGATAATTCAGAAACTTGTCTACACAAGATCTAGATTAGTTCTGATTAGGCTAAGCCAGGGGTAGGCAACCTTTTGAAGCGGAAGAGCCAAATGTTACAATTTTTCAAAATTTCCCTGGTTTTAAATAGCCACTAACATTTTTTTTATTTCAAATATTTTTTTTATTAAGACTATTAGTATTTGTTCAAGGAGCTGGACAGCCGCATCTTGATATCAAAAGAGCCGCATGCGGCTCGCGAGCCGCAGGTTGCCAACCCCTGGGCTAGGCAGGAACGATGACTGATAGGCCTAATATAGTCTAATTATAATTTACTTTATCCAATCCATATTTTCAATAATAAATGAGTAAGGTGGCGGGAACAAACACACGCATTTTAACACAACTCTAGGCCTAGTAGATTTAAGTAGATCTAGATCTCTAGATCTAGATCTAGAAAAATCGAGGTCTAGTCTAGTCTAGAAATTTAATAATCAATAGATCTAGATAAAAATAGATTCTAGATATAGATATCTAGATTTTATTTATTTAAAACAATATTTAGTAGATTTAATTTATAATGCCTTAACTTTATACTTTATTATACCGCAACAAGCTCTAGACTCTACTCTAGAATAGGATCCGATTCTAAATCTATCAATTCTATGGATCTAGATTTTAGGCGGTTAGAATCTCGACAAATGAAAATATCATTATTTGTTCATCAGTTCATTTTCACATTCAACATTGCCAAAGACGGCTGGGCTAATGTTGCCACAGATAAAAATAAAGGGAGCAGCCCAAAGCAGAGTCCTGTGGAGAGGTGTAACTGCAGCCCTTTGCTCCCCAAGGGCCACAAAAAAAAAATGAATGAAATAAATTATTATAATTAGAATCTAGATCATCTAGGCCTAGATCTAGATCTATAATCTATAGGTCTAGGTCTAGAAATAGATCTATCTACTATCTAGACCTAGATTCTAGATCTAGACATCCTAATTAATTATAGATCAAGATTAGACTTTCTTCTATAAAGTATAACCTGGTCACCATGTCAATTGTCATTGGCTTTTTAATTTTATTCTTATCAAATCAATGCTATTACTCAGTAGTCAAAAGTACTCAATACTCAATAATAGGGCCTAGATTCTATAATAAAATCTAGAATCTAGATCTACTTGACATAAAGATCTAGAATAGAATCTAGATCTATATGGATCTTGCTATATATAATAATTATATATTATATATAGATCTATAATATATTATTAGAGATCTATAGATCTCTATATAGGCTACTATTATGTAACATTTTAATATATTAATATAATTTTCTTCTCAAAATTAGGTTTATTTTTGGACAAAGCAGTTTGGTTACTGAGCAACATTCAGAATGGAAAATGATGAAGATAACTTTTCAATAATTAGTGGAACAACAAATGGATCATCTCCATTGCTTGTCTCATCCATTTCAGGGTAAATATCAGAATAGTGAACAAGCCTCAGAATAAGTATAATAATAGATTACTGTGTAGGGCCTAGATTTAGGCATGTAGTCTTTGTAAGTAGTGAAGTATCCTTTCAGTGTCTTGAAATGATAGTGTGGTCAGAACTATGCCCTGACATATAATCATATATAGATCTATATACTTTCTGGATCTGCACTTCAGTAGGGAACCCATAAAAGCTGAGTGGACTTATTTCTAAGTCTGAATATAACATAACTTTTTAATTTTTTACAAAAGAAATCCACTGGTTTAAAATTTTCTGCCACAAATTTTGATGAGCAAATGTAAAGTGATATTTTCATCAAACCTCTATGCCACCTCGTGTTACCATTCATTTGTTGTTTGAAATGTGAATGTACAATTATTTGAAATGAACACTGATTTCTTTCAAGTTGATTAATTTGGTCAGTTAGAAGTGTATAAATCTATGAAGTATGTAAAGATAATTGAAAATTAAAGTCTTGGGTTAGATTCGTGGATAGGTTTAAATTTAATGCTAAGTTTTGTTGTTGGTGTCAGGTTATCCGTGGTATAAGACAATGATATTATAATTCATTGACAAAAAGGCCATTATATGAGTTATTGTTTCTTATACTTTCTAAAAATAGGAATTTGTTCAAGAAATTCCTTTCTCATAACAGAAATAATTTGAACACAGGCATTACAAGTAAGAAGCTATAATTATAACTTGCATCAATTCACAAAATCAATCTATCTAATTTGTCTTAAAATAATAATTTTTCTTCATTAAAAAACAAAAATTGTTACATGATTTAAATTTGTCCTGTAGTAATTTCAAAATTAAAGGAAAAGTAAATAGAGTACAAAATGACTTCAGTTTCTAAATTCTACAAAATGTAACTCAGTGGATCTTATTTCAGGTGGGATAGATGACAGTAATAGAACATTGTCTCCCGTGATCTCTATACAGAGTACAGAACACTTCAAATATCAGCGTGATGAAATGGTTAGATTATATATTTTTTACCAGCTTACCTGAAATAATGTAGAACTTAGTGATTTAGAAGAAAAAAATAGCGATAGATGAAAAGTTACATGTTTATTGGCTAGTTTCAACTCTAGAAATACTATAATAATTTATTTCTCTACATTTTTGCCTATTTTCATAATAAATTGAAATTCCTTTTTTTTGTAAAGAACATTTAAAAAATAATGGTGCACTTCTATTAGGGGATATTTTTTTGTTTTTTAAGCATAATCATCTCAAACTTGTTGACACTATTTTGCATCCACAAATGTGTGATCTGTCTAACCATCACATACCTCCTATAACAAAAAAAGATTTTAATGTATTTTAACTTTTTGAACATTATTAACAGGCATTCTCGCCTACTCAAGAAACGAGTGTCACAAAACTTGACCACGGTGAGCATCCAGTTCAAAGTCCAGATTTGGCAGACTCAAATGATTTATTTGTTTCAACCACAAATCCTGGTTTAGAAATGGACGGAAGTGAAAACAAATCAGTGATTGCTGATAGGACTGGTATATCTAACAACACAACTGTAAGCTCAACACTACATGATCTAGAAAAAGGTGGGAGTGAAGATTCAAAAATGTTCGACACAATGGATAACCCAAACCACAAAACGAGTCTCACATCGGATGAAGATAACCAGAGTGTTGCATCAATTAGCACTATCCCGCCCACCCCGCCTGATTTAAAGTCACATTTGACTTCACTTATACATTCACAAAAGAAAAAAAGAACACCTTCTGTTAATGCCATCTGTGTTGATGTTGCTGTGAGTAAACAAACTGACCAAGAACATCTTTCTTCAGAAGGAAGTGTCAAATCTTGCAACTTACTACAAACTACACTTACAAAAATATCACCTTGTACAACAAATGAAGACAAGAAAACAAATGTTGAGTTGCCATTAACTACTCAAATTGAATCTTACCTGACCGAAAACACACTTCAAGGGAGGCAATGCATTGAACAAGAGTTAACTAAACAAGTTATCTCCCTGAACAGTAAATTGTTATTGAATAATAAAGAATTTGAGGAAGTTAACACATCTAGTTATTCACACAACAAAACAGAAAAAAAGGAAATCAAAACAACCTGTACTAAACAACCTGAGGCACTGATGGATGTTAATGAAAAAATTACACTTAAAAAGACAAGCAGTGATTTGACTAACAATCCACTTAAGTTTGTATAAATTACTAATTTATTTCCATTTTTTATTGCAATTAACTATAGCACTCGATTTTAATTATAGGTTAGTTTAATGCTACAATTTTTAAAGAGTTTTAAAGTTAATAAGGAAGTATGGCATTTTTTTAGACTTAGATTTAACAGAAGATGTCCAATAGTAAAAAAAAATAACTTTCCTATAATATTTTAAAAATTAAGTACTATTAGGTGACTTCATTGAATTTGGAAAATGATGAATCTTATTATATAATTTTCCTCTCTATAATTATAACTTATTTATTGCTACATCTATTTTTAAAGTATTTAATTATTTATTTACCCAAACCAATTTAAAACATTAGAAGCAACTATACAGCTGATAGAGATGTTATGACACAGGCTTCTCAAACCCCTCTTTTCTGTGAAAGTCAAGAAAGTGAAAAATCTGCCCACAGTTTAAGTCTACAGGTAATAAAGATTCTCAGTTTATATTCAGCTGCTTTGCAAATCTTATTATTATACATACTAGATGACTCAGTGATTTTTAATTAACAGTCTGTGATCAAAAGGCCTATGAAATTTAAAAAAATAATATTTTTTATAACTTCAAATTTAAACCCAAATGTCAAGCTAAAAAAGTTTAAATGCTGTAACTACAAGTATTCTATTTGTGCTCCTCTGGAAATACAATTTAAGAAATTAACATAAACATATATTTCAGATTTTTACTCAGTTGTTATTAGTTAAGTTCTGATGAAGAACTCTATAAGAAGATATTTTTATGCTGAAACACATTTTTATTTTCCAGGTCCACAATAAAGAAATAGAATCAATAAAACGTCTGTTAGCTCTATGTGATAGACTTATTGCTAAACTAGATGTTTCAAAACCGGTTGATGTTTGTAAGTAAATTACTTTTATTTTCTTAAATACAGTAAGGTGCAATTTCTTGTTATTGCATTTTTTTCATGCCTTTGAAAGTTTAAAATTAATAAACAAAGCAGTTTAAAAAATCATCAAATATCTAAGCCCTGTTAGTTACAGTAGCCATAGTTCAGCTCATTATGATTTTAATTTGGCTACAGATCAATAAAAAGCATTTTACTGGATTCAATTGATTGTTCAGTGTTTAAATAAACTCCCATATTCTTTAGCTGCCCAGCTGTCGAAGTTTGAAACAATAACACAGAAATTAAACGCAGGTTTAGAGGAAGAAATGAAAAAAGTCTTTGCCCTGAAAAAATCCAAAAGAAAATCTGGCCAGTTTGAAACAGTCTCTAAACTGAAATGCAGACAGGAAATGCTTGAAGAGAAACGCTCACTCCTACAGATGGTGTTTCATAAACAGGAAATTATTAAGAAAAAGTAACCATAGTAATATTTTGATTAGTTTAATTTTCCATATTTAATTTCAACTCATTATTATTAACCATTAAAATAATATCACAAATTTACAAATCTAATACTGTTTCCAGCCCTTTGAAAATTTTCTTTCTAAGTTCTGGTGCTTGATAAAACATTTTAATTAACTAGATAAATGGTTGTTAAAGATTTTAACATTGTTTGTCAAAATTGTTTTATTTTTCTTTCAGAATTTTTGCAGCCCAAGCCAAATCTTCATCTATCAATGAAGACTCAAGTTCTGGTATTGAACAAGGAAATGAACCAAACCAAGCAAATATTTGTTCACAGACAAAACACAAAAATCTGGCCGCTGGGTTATCTCCTACTTGTGACACACAGACTACACTTTCACAAGAAATTGAATGCAACACAGTTACAGGTATGGCCTTAACTTTAGAACAAGATAGAAAACTTGGTCATAATGTTGCTGAAGTGGTCTCTGATAAAAAACTTAATGCAAATCCTGCATTACCTGAACTAGATAATAACAAAATAGTGAAGAAATCTGTTATGGGAAACTCACAGGATGTTGGTAGGAATAGCTCATCTTGTGAGGGTTCCTATGATTTACAGCTATCTAGAGATGAAATGGGAAGCAACTCTTCACCTGTTACATCTCACAAAGAACAACATATCCAGTTACCATCAGAAAAAGATGGAGGAAATGACACTAGTCATAAAGATGTCACATCACTCCCCCTGTCATCTGACATTGAGCTTGTGACTGATGATAAAGATAAACACAAATATAAATCACAGTGTTCAGAAGTGAATCTTGATCTTCATACAGGTCCTGGAGTGTTGATTTCTAACTCTAAAGAAAAAGAGTGTAGACCTGTTACAAAATATATATCACAAGACCGACCTGTTGATAATGCTGTAGGACAACAGAGCACTACAATTTCAAACAGGACAAATTTAGAAAAAAATGTGAATAATTCAAAACAAGATTCTTCAAGCAAACACGAATTGATTGATTTAGAATGTGATGCTTCTCACGATGTCAGTAGTCCCTTAAGGGTAGAGGTCAAGGAACAGGCTAAAGTTCCGATGAATGGAGAAAATTTAAATACAGATCCATGTGAGGATGTAGACAGTAAAGGTTCTGCCTTATTAAAACTAGGTGTAGTGTGTGACAATACAGATAAAATACGTAATCAACCACATGGGAGTGAGACCCGTATCTGTACACAGCATCAATTAGTGGAGGGCGTAAATGAGAAGGAAACCAAAGTTCAGAGTCATCACTCACAAACTCAGAGCGCACCAAAAAGTACAACTCCTGCAGATGATATTCCAATGTCATCATCTACGCTGATTTCCTCGCAGAGATCCACACAAGTAGTTCCTAGTGCACTTGTAACTCCTTCGTTTTCTGACTCAACCAAGCCCGGAGTCACAACAAAATCTCCATCATCTGACTCAACCAAGGCTGGAGTCACAACAAAATCCCCTCCATTGTCTGACTCAACCAACCCTGGAGTCACAACAAAATCTCCATCATCTGACTCAACCAAGGCTGGAGTCACAACAAAACCTCCATCATCTGACTCAACCAAGGCTGGAGTCACAACAAAATCCCCATCATCTGACTCAACCAAGCCTGGAGTCGCAATAAAATCCCCATCATCTGACTCAACCAACCCTGGAGTCACAATAAAATCCCCATCATCACCTGACTCACCCCAGCCCAGCGTCACAACCAAGCAACAGACCTCTCCCTGCTCTACAGCCAGCAGCAGCCTATTCCCTGTGTCGTCCATGGAGATAGTCAGACGGCTGGAGAACAGATTCACCTTGCAGGGTCTTTCAGCTGTGGCAGCTAGGGACCATAACCTACCTCAGCCATACACAACAAGGTACACAACTCTTGCTGAACCGAACAAAGGGAATACAACTCCATCTAAACAAAACCAGGGGTGCGCAACCCCGCTTGACGTAAACAAAGGAAACAAAGCTCTACCTGAATCAAACAAGGGGCAAACAACTTGCCCCTTATCTAACTCAGAAACTCCCACCTCCTGCAGAACTTTACCCCCCAAACCACCAACTGACACCCACATTTTCTCTAACCCAGCCCACACTGAGTTAAGTGAAAATATTAGCCATCACCATGGCAACATGGATGAGCCCAACAGTAACACCCCCTACTTGAAAACTCCATACAAGAAGAAAACAGTTTCTGCTGAACCTATTAAAAAAGCTGAAAATTCTGGTAAACCCAGAGGCAGGCCCAGGAAAAGAAAATCTCCCATAGAAGATGAGGAGAGTCCACATGAGAAGAAAGGCAAGCAGGGAGATATTGCAAATTACTTTTCTAAACTCACATCTCAAGGAGAGAGTTCAAAACCCACTCAGGCAACTGGAAGTAGCATGGATGCTTTGGTGTCAAATCCCTCTGAAACTTTTTTCCCTCAGGTGGAAGACTCATCACAGTTCAGGAAGTTCAATGAAGGCATGGAGACCACTTCAAGTGCAGTGGGACCCCTACCTGGAAGTATGGGACCCACAACTAGCTGGATGGGCCCCTCAACGAGCTGGGTGGGCCCCACAGCCAGCATGATGGAACAAGACCGAGTGGACGTTCTCACACTGTTGAAAAGTTTAAAGACGGTGGAGCTGATAGCGGACCAGGAAGTGACCGGGACCTCAGAGGATTTCCCTACAGACTTCTGGACTGAGAACTTTTCCGATATTAAAATGTCGAAAGCATTATGGGATAGTGTTGACAGCTGGTGACTTGATATAGCCTGGGTGAAGGCTTTGTTTCTTGTTTTATTTTAGGTTCAGTGCTTTGTAAGTTTTAAACCTTTAAGTTTTGTGTAGTACCAAAATTTTGGTATTCCTAATCGTTAATAAGTTTTAATCATAAAGGTTAATTATTAAGATAAAGTGACCCTACTAGTCTCATTAACTTTAAGATAAATGACCTTAAATTTTAATGAGAGATACTAAGTAATTATGTGTAATTTTTATGCGAGAATTTTTAAGGTTAACAGTATTAACATCTTACAAAGCATTTTTTTTGTCCAAAGTTTACCTAAGATTAAATCATTGTGGTAAGGCAATGTTCACAAATTTATTATTAGTTGAAGGGGATCGTTTTTTAAATGTATTTTAACTAATTTTAAGGCACTGAATTTTGTCAAAAACTAACAAAAGTAACAGAATGGTGTATATTATTATGTTCATGTTTTATATCATTAAAAACAAAATGAAAAAATAGTTTGTCTTATGACATATTTATTATGTATTAATTACCTGTTGGACTTTAGTTTACAAAACGTTAAATAAAGGGCTTTAACTGGAGTATTAATAAGGAATTACACATTTTTGTGAACAACTTTTTAAAATTTAAAATCACTATGGTTTGATTACAATAAAAAAAATATAACAGTTCCACAACATAAATATCATCAGCTAAATCAGCTATTTAAAAAGATATTAATCAAATAGTGTTTACACAACATCACTAGTCTGGAATACCCAAATTAAGAAGAAAGTAGGTTGGGTAAACAAACATGAAGAGGTCAGCTGTTAGTGAAGTGGACCCAACTTAGATGAATTGCCCAGTAATGAGTTCGATGGAGAGCAATGGTTGCGTCCCTTGGGGCGCACACGAACGATGTTGATAATACATAATTTTAATTTTTAAATATAAGACAATGAATAACAAGCGGATATTCTTATTTAATCTACATTGTCTCTTATTGCTTCTGAGTAGTCTAGTAGTACATTGTTTCTTGTTTATCATAAAAAGCGGTTGCTGAGTAAACTGCAACATCGACAAGTTAATTTTTTTCCTGATTTTATTCCAATGTTTTTTTAAGCCAGTATGACTTGTTTTTTTTTTTTTTTTTTATTAATGCGAATAATTGTGCTGCTTGCAATATATTTTTATTTGGATACTGGCGCCAGTAGAGGTCTCTTCCACTTTTAACAAATAATTAACCAGAAAAAAAGATGGTATATGGGTTAATGAACCAGTTAATTGTAATAATTGTTTAGTTGTTCAATCTGTCATTATGAAAAAAAAGTACTTTAGGAAGTTCTGTATAAGAAAAAAAAAGCACTTTCGGACTGGCTGGTTTGGGTAAATAAATAATTAAATACTTTAAAAATAGATGTAGCAATAAATAAGTTATAATTATAGAGAGGAAAATTATATAATAAGATTCATCATTTTCCAAATTCAATGAAGTCACCTAATAGTACTTAATTTTTAAAATATTATAGGAAAGTTATTTTTTTTTGACTATTGGACATCTTCTGTTAAATCTAAGTCTAAAAAAATGCCATACTTCCTTATTAACTTTAAAACTCTTTAAAAATTGTAGCATTAAACTAACCTATAATTAAAATCGAGTGCTATAGTTAATTGCAATAAAAAATGGAAATAAATTAGTAATTTATACAAACTTAAGTGGATTGTTAGTCAAATCACTGCTTGTCTTTTTAAGTGTAATTTTTTCATTAACATCCATCAGTGCCTCAGGTTGTTTAGTACAGGTTGTTTTGATTTCCTTTTTTTCTGTTTTGTTGTGTGAATAACTAGATGTGTTAACTTCCTCAAATTCTTTATTATTCAATAACAATTTACTGTTCAGGGAGATAACTTGTTTAGTTAACTCTTGTTCAATGCATTGCCTCCCTTGAAGTGTGTTTTCGGTCAGGTAAGATTCAATTTGAGTAGTTAATGGCAACTTAACATTTGTTTTCTTGTCTTCATTTGTTGTACAAGGTGATATTTTTGTAAGTGTAGTTTGTAGTAAGTTGCAAGATTTGACACTTCCTTCTGAAGAAAGATGTTCTTGGTCAGTTTGTTTACTCACAGCAACATCAACACAGATGGCATTAACAGAAGGTGTTCTTTTTTTCTTTTGTGAATGTATAAGTGAAGTCAAATGTGACTTTAAATCAGGCGGGGTGGGCGGGATAGTGCTAATTGATGCAACACTCTGGTTATCTTCATCCGATGTGAGACTCGTTTTGTGGTTTGGGTTATCCATTGTGTCGAACATTTTTGAATCTTCACTCCCACCTTTTTCTAGATCATGTAGTGTTGAGCTTACAGTTGTGTTGTTAGATATACCAGTCCTATCAGCAATCACTGATTTGTTTTCACTTCCGTCCATTTCTAAACCAGGATTTGTGGTTGAAACAAATAAATCATTTGAGTCTGCCAAATCTGGACTTTGAACTGGATGCTCACCGTGGTCAAGTTTTGTGACACTCGTTTCTTGAGTAGGCGAGAATGCCTGTTAATAATGTTCAAAAAGTTAAAATACATTAAAATCTTTTTTTGTTATAGGAGGTATGTGATGGTTAGACAGATCACACATTTGTGGATGCAAAATAGTGTCAACAAGTTTGAGATGATTATGCTTAAAAAACAAAAAAATATCCCCTAATAGAAGTGCACCATTATTTTTTAAATGTTCTTTACAAAAAAAAGGAATTTCAATTTATTATGAAAATAGGCGAAAATGTAGAGAAATAAATTATTATAGTATTTCTAGAGTTGAAACTAGCCAATAAACATGTAACTTTTCATCTATCGCTATTTTTTTCTTCTAAATCACTAAGTTCTACATTATTTCAGGTAAGCTGGTAAAAAATATATAATCTAACCATTTCATCACGCTGATATTTGAAGTGTTCTGTACTCTGTATAGAGATCACGGGAGACAATGTTCTATTACTGTCATCTATCCCACCTGAAATAAGATCCACTGAGTTACATTTTGTAGAATTTAGAAACTGAAGTCATTTTGTACTCTATTTACTTTTCCTTTAATTTTGAAATTACTACAGGACAAATTTAAATCATGTAACAATTTTTGTTTTTTAATGAAGAAAAATTATTATTTTAAGACAAATTAGATAGATTGATTTTGTGAATTGATGCAAGTTATAATTATAGCTTCTTACTTGTAATGCCTGTGTTCAAATTATTTCTGTTATGAGAAAGGAATTTCTTGAACAAATTCCTATTTTTAGAAAGTATAAGAAACAATAACTCATATAATGGCCTTTTTTGTCAATGAATTATAATATCATTGTCTTATACCACGGATAACCTGACACCAACAACAAAACTTAGCATTAAATTTAAACCTATCCACGAATCTGTATGAGAAACAAAGTACTCTGGGAAGTCTATACGAGAAAGAACAAAGTATTTTTGGACGGTCTTCTCAAGCATAAGTAAATGAACCATTTAATCGGTTTCTACACTGTCAGAGATAGTTCATTTCAATGCAAAGACACCCTTACGTTCCCCGTTTTATGCCGGGTCCCTATTAGAGCTGAGTCGACTCAAGGAATACTATGTAGACCTATCCAAAGTCGGGAGACGAGCACAATGCTGCTATTAAATTAATTTAGACCTAGGATTAAACGGAAAAATTATGTGGAGACAGACTCTAAAGAGCTTTGAGACCAGGAAGTACAAGACAGCCGATAGATAGCAATAATGTATGGGAGAAGGCAGTGAGGCTTGAAGCCGGTCAAAACCTACCATTGGTTGTTGAGCCACTGGGATGGATATACTTTACTGTGCTATGCCATGCCATGCTAAGCTATGCTATGCTATGCTATAGGGCTGGTAAGTAGGTCACCAACCAGTTCTATGGCTCATGCAGGTTTTATTGAGCCGTAGAAATGGTTGGTGGCCTACTTACCAGCCGCATAGCATAGCTTAGCTTAGCATAGGGAGTGCACTTGAAACTCTCGAAAGGAGGAAGGGATTGATAGATGAAGTATTTTAATTTTTAATGTAAATTCTGTTTCGTTGGAAAGTGAGGGGGTGTAGACGAGTTTCTGGAGATGCCTGAAAAAAAAAAACCGGATCTGAACGAACTGTATAATGTAATCCTAAAGTGTTATTCTTGCTTATGTGTAGTGCTGGCAAGTATTTCTTCACTGTTGCCGGCTAGTGCGACCTATTTTAGAAGATACCTTTAAAATTTATTTTTTAAAAAACTAAAGAGATAAGAAAGCATGTGGTTATACTCGCATGTTATAACTTAATTAATCACTTGAACTAGTTAAAGAACTTATCCGCACTAAATGCCGGAAAATTGTTAAATCATCTCTAACCTGACGTCAGCATAGCGTCCAGAGGCGGATGTAGGGGGTTGCGAATAATAGGGCACATGGGGGTTCGCAGATTTGACTGCTCCTTTTCTATTAAAAAAGATGGCAAGTATTTTATCATAAGTATTTTTTGTTTATTTTTAACCTAATTCAATCGACGTTTGGAACATAATGATCGGATACTGGAGGAGAGGTCTGAAAAGTTTGCAAAGGACGATTTTTATCTTAAACCATGTTTTCACGGGTTGGTTGAATGGTAGAGCGTTTGACTTCTAACTCGAAAGCAGTGGCGTAGCCAGGATCGTCTCAAGGGGGGGGGGGTTCCAATTTTTACCCGGGGACAAACTTTCGATTTGCACCCCCCCCTCAAACTTTCGATTTGCACCCCCCTTATACTTTTTCTATATACCGAGGGGTCTATGGGGGTTTACCCAACCCCCCCCCCCCCCCTGCCTACGCCACTGCTCGAAAGTCTTGAGTTCGGGTCCCGAGTTGGGGTCCGTAAGACGGCACTGAGTCCACCCAGCTCTAAAGGGTACCAGAATCACGTTAGGGAAAATAAATGCGGCTGGGTGTAGTGCTGACGACACTATCTCTACATATGCCGAGGCCACTGAAACAGATCAACTCTACTTCACCTGCTCGAAGCATTACTTCAACTGACCATTTTAATTACAAAATAACAAAATAAGCCATAAATCACATTTAGCTAGTGAGGATAAGATAGCAGAATTGACCTAATTTCAACTTAAACCTGTACCTGGTAAACTATTCAAAGAAAACTGAGGATAATTTCTTAGTACAAAATACACATTGGTTGGAGAAAGTAATGATTCTAACGAATACAATTTTTATACAAGATCAAAATGATAGATTCTCTACGCTGTTACCTTTTTAAATTTAGTAAAATATCAGTTCTTTAAAAAATTCATCAGTATCATCTTTTCCTAAGGCACCTGGGGCAGATGAAGTAGAATCTATCTGTTTCGGAGACCTCGGCATATGAAGGGATAGTGTTGTCAGCACTATTACCAGCCGCCTTTACTTTCCCTAACATTGAGTAATGTTCTACTGGCTTCAACGCGGATTCGACCTATAGACTTTCGAGTTAGCAGTCTATCTTTCTACCACTAGGCCACGCATTAAAGAATAATTGTTCATAAACATAACTGAATTGTTAGAATTAAAAAAAAACAACAAAAAACTATTTTTTCTTTCCACCAGCTGTGTTATCATTTTACTAATCAAGCGCCGATCAATAATTGTATTGTGTTCTATTTTACACACCTATAAAAGGGACACAGGTTGATGAACGAAAATGGTAACAATACGCTCGTTACCGAGACGACAGCGGATCATCTCCCTTGCATGAGCTACTCTCATGATCATCATTGACTCAGCATTTCGGGCAGGTAGGGCTACGATAAGATAAGACTTCGCAAAAAGCTTATAAGTACAGTCCAGTATCCGGATATCTTCGTCTTCAGCTTGGCCTAACTACCTCTTACGTAAGCCTCAACATTTTTTTACTTTACATTTTTTTATCATTGTTTATTAGACAAGTGTGACGTAATGTTCGCCCTTTAATTTAGTTGAAATAATATATTACTTAAACAAGATTAAGAAAAAAACAATTGTGTGCATTTAAGTTAGTATAATAATCTAGCTCAGCATGATAACAAAAATATTTATCGTTTAAGTTAGTTTAGTAGAAAGTGTAGCATTATAAAAAAAAATCCTTATTACGTTAGTATAGTTGGCAGTTCAACCTATTTTCCGAATTCACCGTAATTTACCGCAGTTTAGTGTAAAACAAAGTAAACGAATTTGAATTAAAGAATCTAGTTTTGTAGTTTGTAAGCAGGACAGTCTTAAAGATCGAGTATGGAGGAAGCTCGCCTAAGGAGTTCAATGTGTGGGAGATCTTGGGCAAGGCTACTGAGCCATCTTGCAAGGACCTGTTTGCAGGTTGTATAGACCTCTAAGAAGGCTGTTAGGAGTAGAACCTGTTTGCAGGCTGTAAGGACCTGCTTGCAGGACTAAATAACTGTTTGTAGGCTGTAGGGACATGTTTGCAGGCTGTAAACCCTGTTTGCAGGCTGTAAGGACCTGTTTGCAGGCTGTATAGACCTGCTTGCAGGCTGTTAGGACCTGTTTGCAGGACTAAAAACCTGTTTGTAGGCTGTAGGGACCTGTTTGCCGGCTGTAAAGACCTGTTTGCAGGCTGTAAAGACCTGTTTTCAGGCCGCAAAGACCTGTTTGCAGGCCAAAGGACCTGTTTGCAGGGTGAAAATAGCCCTACTAAAAATTGATCAACAATCGGACTGAAACTGTCGTTTAAATTAGGAAGGTCTATGATTAAACATTGAAGGTCTATGATTAAACAAATTATATATTTAAAAAAAAACATGCCGGTAAAACAAAGTATTTAGAGTGTAGATAAGAAAAATCTTGAAAAAAGAGTTAAATAAGACAAGTGTCACTTCTTGTGCGCGCACCCCCCCCCCCCCCCCCCCCCCCATAAATCCAAACCTTCCCATCCTCACGAACTATTTGGATGAGCGTATCGCAATGTTATAACTCTCTGACTTCGTTTAAAATTAATTGTTTTTTAAATTAAGTATTGATTAGTCCTGAGGTAGGTGAAAGCATTGTTTATAGGTGGTCAGGGTCTATTTTTAGACAACAGGGGGTACAGTTACAGGGGTACAGTTATAGGGGTAGTTACAGGGGTACAGTCAGAGGCGTAGCGAGGAAAGGGGGGCGGGGGGTGCGGACCCCATCGGGTGACACCATTTAAGGGGTGACACCAAGGCAAAAAATAGTAAGATATATAGAGAAAAATTTGAGGGGGGGGGGGTGCAAATCGAAAGTTTGAGGGGGGGGGGGGGTGCAAATCGAAAGTTCGAGGGGTACATTTACATGGGTACCGTTATAGGGGTACAGTTGCAGGAATAGTTACACAGCCACACGAAATGTTTATTTTCTTTTTAAAACGTCTTGACAGGAAATCATGCCGACTCTACTCCTGGCACTACTAGCAGCCGCCACTTCCCTGGCGTCCGCCCAACTCAGCTTCCCCAAATCGGAACTAGGCTTCATCTACAAAGATGGCCGACCCTGCGCTGACGTCAAACTCGCCGCCTACGTCGACCTGACCTGCCCCGACTCCCAAGCTTCGTTTGGCACTCTCCTCCAAGTGGCTGGAAACTTCACCCCCTTCGAGCTTCAACTCAAGCTCTATCTCTTCTCCCTGCCCTACCACCGGAACAGCCACCTCATCTCCAAGGCCACACGTTTCCTGAGCAGCTACTTCCAGTCGATCAAGTCCAACGCCACGGCCTACGACTGGATACAGCTGGTGTATGACAACATCGACTCGCTCACCACCACCGCAACGTTGAACAAAACGGAAGGGGATGTTGTCAATTTTCTAACGGCTCTGGCCCAGAAATTGGCGCCGGTCACAGCAGACGCTTTCAGAAAAGGGGTACGTTGTTTTGTTTCTAAGTTAATTAAATGCGGTACGTTGTTTTGTTTCGATGTTAATTATTTATTTAAACATATAAATATATACACGTACTTGCCCACGCGCGCATTAGCAAATTCCACAACGAATTTGGGAACATAAAATCATTTTTTTAGTATAATATACACAATTTGAAAATGAAAGCATCATTAGCGCCGTCACCACTATCTGCCATATAAAATCAGACATCCGGTACTTTGAGGTCCATGGGAGGTGCCTAAACCCACCAAAAACCTCCTGATCTGTGCCACTGAACTCCTCCACCACTCAGACTAAGGCTATGTTTTATTGTATACATACACACTGCTCCCCTCCCTCATAACAATAGCATATTGGCATATCAGGAAAGTGAACGTAAGAGGGGAGGGGGACTGTTATGGTAAGGAAAGTGGGTAAAGTAAATTAAAGTTTCCCCTTTCAAACCTGACGGTCTATGGGGCAAGCGTAGTAGAGTGCACTTGTTTCTGTGACCTCGGCATATGAAGAGATAGTGTGGTCAGCACTATGCCCAGCCGCCTTTACTTTCCCTAACGTGAGTTAAGTACCCATCAGAGTTGGGTGGACTCAGGGACGGTTTACTGACTAGGACCCGGATTCGAACTCGAGAATTACGGGTTAGCAGTCCAGCTTTCTACCGCTGAACCACTCCGCCCCAAGGAAAGTGGGTAGGGGAGGTATAATACCAAGGTGAATAAATCTAGGAAAAAAAAATTCGGACTAAAAGTAGTTCCGTGGTGTATGGATACAATGTACCGCTCCCCCCAACAGGTGTATGAATACAATGTACCGCTCCCCCCAACAGGTGTATGAATACAATGTACCGCTCCCCCCAAAAGGTGTATGAATACAATGTACCACTCCCCCCAACAGGTGTATGAATACAATGTACCGCTCCCCCCAACAGGTGTATGAATACAATGTACCGCTCCCCCCAACAGGTGTATGAATACAATGTACCGCTCCCCCCAACAAGTGTATAAATACAATGTACCGCTCCCCCCAACAGGTGTATGAATACAATGTACCACTCCCCCCAACAGGTGTATGAATACAATGTACCACTCCCCCCAACAGGTGTATGCATACAATGTACCGCTCCCCCCAACAGGTGTATGAATACAATGTACCACTCCCCCCAACAGGTGTATGAATACAATGTACCGCTCCCCCCAACAGGTGTATGAATACAATGTACCGCTCCCCCCAACAGGTGTATGCATACAATGTACCGCTCCCCCCAACAGGTGTATGAATACAATGTACCGCTCCCCCCAACAGGTGTATGCATACAATGTACCGCTCCCCCCAACAGGTGTATGAATACAATGTACCGCTCCCCCCAACAGGTGTATGCATACAATGTACCGCTCCCCCCAACAGGTGTATGAATACAATGTACCGCTCCCCCCAACAGGTGTATGAATACAATGTACCGCTCCCCCCCCCCCCCAATAGGTGTATGAATACAATGTACCGCTCCCCCCAACAGGTGTATGACTCCAGCATCGACAGCGACACCAGACTGGAGTGGAAGTACGGCTGCACCCGAGGGGTGTACGGCACCCCCTTCTTCACCATCAACGACGTCTTCACCACAGGCGACGCCGCAGGCTGGACGCCGCAGTACTGGGTCCAGCTCATCAAGTCCCTGCTGCCTGCCAACTCCATCACCAAACAGGCATGCTAGACACGGCACAGCGGCCCCGTAGACCAACTGTCGCGGGCATGTTTATATCAGCCAATCAGTGACGTCTAGATGTAGTGGTCATCCTATAGGATAAAACATTTCATGTTATATTGTAAAGCGTTTTACTTCAAACTCTACTGAAGAGTTTTATGGTAAGCATGAATGATTGGTGAAATTAATTTACAACGACTAACACTAGCTCCATACAACATTTTGTAAATATATTTATTTGTTTGCAAAAAAATAGAATAAAAGGCAGTGTTTACGTGTTTTCCAATACTAATTTTTTTTTTTTTTTATACAAAAAAAAAAAAAAGAGGAGGGGTGAGGTGTGTACGTGGAGGAATTTCCTGGAAGTTATGAGACTAGTGTTTCTTCCAGGCTGTTTTCTCACTTGAAATTTTGGGGGGGGGGGGGGGGGGTGCGGACTAAAATGTTTATTTTTTCGGGGGGGGGGGGGGGGGGGCGGACACTGTTAAAAGTACATATTTTCTAAATAAATTCCATTTCGTTTCGTTCCGGGGGGGGGGGGGGGAAAGGGTGCTCCGCCTGGAAGAGATGCCCGAAAGAAACCCTGTAGTTATAATCTTGTGTCTGTATTACTGCATGAGTTTTTACCTGATAAAGAAAAGTGACATTAATGGCAAGTAGGAACGATAATGCAGGAATTTCAACAATAACAGTATTTAGTTAGGTAAACTCCCTTCAATCAGAACATTTTTTTTTTAGATAATAAGTTGAAATGTTAGGAATGTCAATCTACATTATAACACAAAACGTTTAAGAGAAAAAAAAAAGAGAAAAATAATTAAATTAGTATTTAATTAGGACATTTAAACATTTATTTGCGTAATAAGAATTTTATTTAAAAAAAAATTACTAAAAACAATATAAGATTTAAAATCAATACTAATTTTCGGTAGGTATGGGTTATATTAGAGATTTAATTCAGTCAATTTATTTTTTTTTCACTAAAATTTTCTGGTAAAATCGCCATGTCTACATCAATTTTTCGTCAGTTGTCAACACACAGTGTTACACGTTCGGATCCTCTTGAGTGGAGCATAGAAAATTTACAAAAAAAATAAAAAAAATAAATCATCATTAATATGTTCGTAACAGTGAACGGAAAGATGCGCAACGGAAAATTGCTCAATGGAAAACTGGGTATAAAAAGTCCGCAAGGGCAATTTTGTTTTCTTAAGTCGACCATTTGTAGCAAAAGTATAACTACATGTTCATTGTAGCATAATAAAACATTTTACGCGAAATCTGACAAAATCAAAGCGTATTAATATAATTAATTTGTATTTGCGCATTTATTTCTGATTGCACTGTGTTTTGTTGCGCAATTTTCCGTTTGCGCATTATTGGTAACTGTTACCACCGTATGTTAGTTAAAATATATCAATGGTCATGATTTACTAGCGATATAATAAAAACTTATTTTCGCAATCGATTCCATAGCAGTATTCAGATGTAAAGTTAGCATTCAGTACACCCAGTATACAGTTCACAACAACATATTTCTTGGTTAGTACCGGACAATGATTGGACCAGTGTTGAGTCGACCTGCATGTCTGTTAAGCTAACCCATCTTCTTCAAGGGAACACACGCTAGAATTCTCTAGTCAAAGAAGACCTGAATTATTATTTGATCGACATTTTCTAAACACCAACATGTCAAATACAAGTATAGCCAGACCCAACAAAGTGGTTGCGCCCTCTCCTGAATCCTCTACGGTGATAGCCCGAGAGAGGGGCCCCGGGGGGGGGGGGGTGGGGAAATGAAATCATGGACTCAACCCTTTCTAGATACAGTCAAGTCAACACCCATCACCATGGACGTGTAGAACGAAAAAGGGGCTGACATTTTACGGAAGTCAACATCAAAACAAATGGTCACCCTAACCTTCCTGAACACATCATTCGTTGCTTAATCAGCCCGCTCCACTTGGTACTGAGCAACGGACGCACAGATACTTTGTATTTGGCGCCATACAGCTTCAACTTAGCAGGACAAACAGAACTACACAAGGCAACTTGGACCATACACTCCAGTCCCCTCTTTTGGCCTGAATTACTCGAGTTTTTAATAACCCCAGCCTTGACAACTTTTTTTTTTAAACTTTTTTTTTTTAATACTTTTATTTGCAATTAAAACAAGTACATCAACATCACATTTTTTACGTAGTTTCAAATGAAAACGAAAGGTTTTGAACATGTACATAATGAATATTTACATGATGTCATGTATATGATTATAAAAGAAATATTACAAAGGATGACAGTAAAAGGGGTGAAGGTCAAATGAAAGTGTCAGAAGTCTGGGTGGGGAGTGGAAAGGAAATTTTTCAGAGAATGTCAATGGGACAGTGAAGCATTTTCTATGTATGGAAACAAATTAAGTTGACTAGTTTAAAGAGTGTTTATATATGTACTGGTCGCATTGAGTTTTCAAAAGGTTGCTGTGTGAAAGATGAGGGGAAAGAAACAAGATTTAGAACTTTAAATAAGTAAAAGAATAGATATTCGAAATTGATGTTGGGGTGGGAGGTGGGGTCGTTGAAACAGTTAAAACCTTTTTTCTCCAAAGTTTTTTTAATTAAAAATTTTTTTTTTTTTAAAGGAATCTAAATCTTTATAGTCATTAACCTAATGTAAGAGGTAGTTGCTTTATTTAAAATCGATATTATGAAATACAGCAACGGTGTTTTAGCTATAAGTATAATAAAATAAAATGTAAATGTTAATTAAAAAGCAACATTGTTTAACATGTTCCTATAAAATAAATTATTTCTATCCAAAAATATAAACAAACAATATGATTGAACATCAGCCATCTTGTTTTTTTGTATTCTTTTGTCAACTAGCGATTAAATAAAAGTTGCCTCCCATTTAATTAGGGATTTGTAGTGCTTTTCTTTCTTTACGGCCATTTTTTTTTTACTTTCTCGTATATACGAAGTATAGAGAAAGTCTTGTAATCGTGCAAAAAAAAAAAAATCGAGATTTTTGCAAATCTCGACGTTTTACACCTCCATGAGTCGGAATAACATAGTTTTGCAATCTTGTCCGTATGTCTCTGTGTGTGTGTGTGTGTCTGTGTGTGTGTGTGTAAACACGATAACTTAAGTACCGTTACAGCTAGGTTGATGAAATTTCATTTATAAGTATTATATCAAAATCGTAGATCAGTATCAACTTTTGAGCGATTTCCGATAACCGGAAGTGGTACTTTTTCTACTTTGAATTTTTCAAAAGCCTATAATTTGAGTACTATTTGAGATAGATAAATGAAATTGCACATGAAGTAAAAGATCTAATTCTCTACCTTCTGTTAAATTTTGAGTAATTTTCGTTGACCGGAAGTACTAATTTACGCTATTTCCGATTTCTCAAAAAACTAATGTATATTTTATAAAGTACTAATAATATTGCGCACTATTATGCACTTTTTTTATTTGGCGTTCACTTGGTGTGCAATTCTTTCGTCTACGAGATTTTATTCTATTTTTAAAACTTAAAGTATTTAAAATGGATTAAAAATCATGTCTATAGCCCGAGTTCCCATCCCCTGTTTTTTTATATAGGAATATTCGGGAAGGTTTAGGGGGGATCACTCCCGGTTTATTTTTAAAAAACTTTTTCTTTAAATAAAATAATTTTTTTTTTCAAACAAGCAAATGATAACATGTTTATTTAGAAAATATTCTCATAAAGAGCACCATACAAACAAAAGTAACCATGACAAGAACTAACATGACCCAGATCCACCAGGAGCAGGTCTTGGTGTGGGCTTCAAGGCGCTCACTCTCCACCTTCAGCTTGCTCATGTTTACATCAGCTAGCTGTGTGCTTTCTGCTATTTTCTTTGTATCCTCACGGACCACCCTCCCAGCTATTGACCTACTGACCTTTGTATCCTCATGGACTACCCTCCCAGCTATTGACCTACTGACCTTTGTATCCTCACGGACCACCCTCCCAGCTATTGACCTACTGACCTTTGTATCCTCACGGACCACCCTCCCAGCTATTGACCTACTGACCTTTGTATCCTCACAGACCACCCTCCCAGCTATTGACCTACTGACCTTTGTATCCTCACGGACCACCCTCCCATCTATTGACCTACTGACCTTTGTATCCTCACGGACCACCCTCCCAGCTATTGACCTACTGACCTTTGTATCCTCACGGACCACCCTCCCAGCTATTGACCTACTGACCTTTGTATCCTCACGGACCACCCTCCCAGCTATTGACCTACTGACCTTTGTATCCTCACGGACCACCCTCCCAGCTATTGACCTACTGACCTTTGTATCCTCACGGACCACCCTCCCAGCATCTGATATATTCCTCCCGAGAGCTTGAGTGTGGAACAACAATTCCTCTGCCAATTTTTCCTGCAGCCTGTGATGGTGGTGCATGATGGTGTTGAGGTCATCCTCCTCTGAGGCAGGTTTGTGGCCGCTCTTCACAACTGCTGAGTTATCTGACCTTGACCTCCCCAGAAGCTCGTCTCTGACATCTTGTTCACATTTAGATTTAGCCTTGACCTGGAGCTGACGAGCTGAGGGACTGCTGATGCTGACAGGCTTGAGCTTGTCTGTGATGAACGATCTCTCTGCTACACAAGGCTGCTTTTCTGCTTCCGCCAGCCCTTTGAGAAGGTCGACCTTTTTCTGGTATTCTAACAAAGTTTCCTGAGAAGGTTTACTCTGTGACTTCCTGACTTCTGACAGCAGGTTTTGCAGTGCGCCAATATACTTTTCAAAACGCCAATCTCTATTCTCTTTATCGTCTGCCATTATCTGGCATTGTCCCAATAATCTGTTAAAGTTTATCTCAATACGTATAGTTTACGCCATTGTTGTTATAGTTTTGGAGAATAAGATAAATATAAGCACCGGTTTTGCAACAGAATCTCTGCAATAAATGTAAGAGGCAGTTACTTTATTTAAAATCAATATTATGAAATACAGCAACAGTGTTTTCGCTATAATTATATTAAAATAAAATGTTAATGTTAATTAAAAAGCAACATTGCTTAACATGTTCCTATAAAATAAATTATTTCTATCTAAAAGTATAAACAAACATTATGTTTGAACATTAGTCATCTTGCGTTTTGTATTCTTTTGTTAACTAGCGATTAAGTAGAAGTTGCCTCCCCTTCAATTAGGGATTTAGTGTTTTTCTTTCTTTACGATCTTTACGGCCATTTTTTTTTCTTTTAGTTGCTGCAGGCGTTTCGAAATGTATG